GGTCATAAAGAAGGGTCTTGAGTCCGGCCTTGAAGGGGGCAAGGGAGGAATTGAGGCAAAGGGACTGTGGGATGGAGTTCAAGAATGTGGGGACAGAGAGGCTGAAAGCTCGGCCACCAATGGTAGGGCAGGAGACATGGAGCAGACTGGAACCTGCCGAACAGAGGGATCGGGTAGGTTGGTAGAGAGTCAGCAGGTCAGAGAGGTAGGTGGGGGCAAGGCCATGGATGGCCTTGAATGTTAGGACGAGGACCTTGAATTTGATCCTCTGAGGGATGGGGAGCCAGTGGAGTCGGGCGAGGGTGGGAGTGATGGGGTCAAGGAGCCTGGTGTGCGAGAATACACGAGCTGCAGAGTTTTGGATGATCTGCAGCTTGTGAAGGGAAGAGTTGGGAAGGCCGATGAGGAGAGAGTAAGTAGGAACCCAGTTATTAACTGATTAGGGATCGCTTTTCCGGGGATAATAATTCCTTCAAAACATTTTTTTTATGGGGCACTGCTGTGCGCAATTGGCTGCCGCATTTCGCCCACAAAACATACAGTCAATTCACTTTACAGTATATTCTGTGAAGCGCTTTGAGATGTCTCGAAAACGTGATAAGGCGCTATATCAAATGCAAAGATTATTATTGTTACTTAATTTGTCTCTGAATATTTCCTACTTCATTTTCTGTTACATGTGGGGCCTTCTCTCCATCTGGTTTTCTTGCAACAATCATGCAGTGTGGTTTCACCCTTACTTATTGAAACAAATTATACAATTATACAGCCATATAAAATGTTTGAATTGCATACTTCAGTCAGCAGTAGCTTGCATTGTTCTTTATCAATTAAATCAGTATCAATTCCAGTATGTCGATACTAGGCCATAATTCAGAGAAATTTCTTCTGCTGACTGATTTAAAGCAATACTGCAGGGACAAATGTGATATTACGCAAGTTTCAAATTCCAGTGCTCAATATGTATTTATACGGTACTGATCCCGTTTAAGACTATATGATGTGAAATGAGTGCCAGAAATGAATTTCGCTGCATTTTTGTCTTTTTCAGTATGTGCAAGTATGTTGAATGGCAGACCTTCAATGTACTTTCAATGCCTACAGTAACAATTCCTTAAGGTAATTGGGAGATCAAGTTACCAACTATCAAATGCTTGTTATTTGATACTCTTTTTGCTGTAGTGGATCTGGATTGAGCAGAGGGGATTCCTTCAGCCCATTTGCAAAGTCCAGATCAGGCTGTGAGGTGGAATGGTGGCAATGGGAAGCAGCTGCAGGCTTCATAGTGGGCATGTCTGCCCGTTCAGGTGGACGGTGAAGATTCCATGGCACTATTCAAAAAGAGAAGAGAGTTTCTTCCCGTGTCCTGGTCTACAATCCCACAATTAAAATTGGTCATTCACTTCATGACTTTGTATGGGAAATTGCTATGCGCAAATTGTTGCCGCATTCACCTACAAATACACAGTGACTCCACTTCACAGTAAATCCTGTGAAGCGCTTTGGGATATCCTGCTAACGTGAAAGGTGCTAAAACAGTGCAAAGGATTATTATTCTTATTGCCTTGTTGTTCTCATTTCTAATCAAATTCCTTTCACCATCTTCTTTTCTGCTGTTATCTCCATTCTGTTATCAGCTTCCCTTACTGAGAATGATATAGGAACATAGGAACAGGTGTAGGGCATTCAGTCCGTCAAACCTATTCCATCACTTAATTAGATCATGGCTGATCTATATCTTTACTAGAATTTCAAATCCAATTTCCCGCTTTCTCCCCATATCCCTTAATACCCTGACCTACCAAAAATCTGTCAATCTCTTTCTTGAAGGAGTGGATGGATCCAGCATTCACGACCTTTTGGGGAAGAGAGTTCCAGATTTCTACCACCCTTTGAGTGAAAAAATGCTTCCTAATTTCACTCTTAAATGGCATGGTTCTAACTTTAAGGCTATGCCCCCTTGTTTTGCATTTCCCCCAACATAAGAAATAACTTTTCTGCATCTACCTTATCCTCCCTTTATCATCCTAAAACCCTCTATCAAATCACCCCTCAATCTTCTAAACTCAAGTGAATACAATCCAAGTTTATGGAGTCTTTCCTCATAACTTAACCGTTTTTGGCCTGGTAACATTCTGGTGAACCTGTGTGCACCCCCTCCAAGGCCAATCTATCTTTCCTGTGTTTTTAGTGATTTGTGGATATAGATACTCAAATCTTTTTGTTCTTCCACAGCTCTTAGTTTCTCCCTGTCAAAAAAGTATTCTACCCTATCTTTTTTCGGTCCATAGTGGATGACCTCGCACTTCCCTACATTGAACTCCATCTGCCACAGCTTCGCCACTCACTTGATCTGTCTAAGTCCCTCTGTAACTTTCTACTCCCATCTTCACTACTTGCTGAGCCGCCTATCTTAGATATAAACTTGGATATAAAACTTTTGATTTCTTCATCCAAGTCATTTATGTATATGGCAAAAAGCTGAGGTCCAGGTACAGACACCTGGGGGACACCCCCCAATCAGAGAACATTCCCTTAATTCCTACCTTCTGTTTTCTGCCTCCCAACCAATTGCAAAGCCATGTCACAAGGTTACCTCCGATTCCGTGTGCTTCTATTTTTACTAATAATCGTTTATGTGGAACCTTATCAAATGCCTTCCGAAAGTCCATGTAAACAACATCCATAGCCACTCATTTTAGTGACTTCCTCAAAAAATTCAACTAGATTAGTTAGGCATGACCTACCCTTTGCAAACTCATGCTGACTTCCTTTGATAAGTTCATACCTCTCCAAATGTTCAGTCACTCTGTCCCTGATGATGGATTCCAGTAATTTCCCTCCAACTGACGTTAAACTGACAGGCCTGTAATATGATTCTTTCAAGTTTAATAAATCTCATTTTGCAAAATATTCTATCAGTACTTATCTTTGCTCCTCATTTATCTTGTACTCCTATCATGTTTGTGATGAATAAAAATATTTAAAGAAAGCTTATAAGTACTGCACAACATGTTAAATTATAGGATATAACTTTTATAACTCATTTTCCCCATCTTGTTGAAAATCAGCCTTTGTCGATCTTTATTTGCATGTACAACTGCTGTCACAACATACGTACGGCGCAGCCCACTACATCCTTCAGTGGCTCCAAGTGAATTATTCAAAGGTTTGTGCTTTGCACCAGGCTGGAAGAAAATGCATGCATGCCTGAGCAAGTAGGAATCAGTACTGTATCAGCTGAGGATTGTTATGTACTGCTGCCACTCGCCCTCTGATTTTTTCTTTTGTCCTGTTCAAGTTTCCAGCTTTCAACCAGTGTCTATGGCTGGTGACTTGGCAAAGATTAGCAGCTCACTTTTCCGAACTCCAGTTCAATGAGACAAGAGCAACCATCTTCAGTACATTCACATTTTTGCTACTTTGAAAATCTCTGGATTTGTTTCGATACTGTTTCACAGGAAGATATCCTACCTCAAATGCCTTTAATTGAATTGATTCCAATTTGTTGAGGAAGGGAAAAGCACAAAATAAAAGTTTGGCTTCAAAATGATCAGAGATATTAAACTGAGATTATGTTCATCTCTTTAGGAGGATGTTAATGATTCCATGGTACTATTTAAAAACACAAGGGAGAACATCCACCTGATATAATAATAATCATCCTGATGTACTGGTCAAAAGTCTTACAGATAAATTGTTCATTCATTTCACGGTTGTTTGTGGGGCATTACTATGCACAAATTACCTGCTGTGTTTGCCTACAAATACAAAGTCATTAACTTGACAGCAATTTCTTATAAAGTACTTTGGGATAGTTTGATGATGTGATGATACAGACAAACAGACTGACTCCACACAGCACTGAGTGCACAGACTGACTGCACACAGCACTGAGTGCACAGACTGACTACACACAGCACTGACTGCACAGACTGACTGCACACAGCACAGAGCGCACAGCACAGACAGACTGCACAGAGCACTGAGTGCACAGACTACTGCACAGAGCGCACAGCACTGAGTGCACAGACTGACCACACACAGCACTGAGTGCACAGACTGACCACACAAAGCACTGAGTGCACAAACTGACCACACACAGCACTGAGTGCACAGAGCACTGAGTGCACAGAGCACTGAGTGCACAGAGCGCACAGCACCGATTGCTGCACCGCAGCCCCTGAGCCGCGCCCTGAGACGGTCCCCCCCGGCGCCGCGGCCCTGACACTCACACGGGGGGGGACGGGGGGGGTATAGGCCGCAGCCACACGAGAACAAAACGGCAAAAGCAAAACACCGGGACCGAGGGGGGAGCGGGGATTGGGCGATGGAGAAGCGTTTGTTTTGGATTTGAATCCCCGCCACTGAAAACTGCTGATCTGCTTTCGAGGCCATTGCAACCCCTTCCCCCCCCCACACACACACCCCACACCCCCCCTTCCCCCTCCCCCCCCACACCCTCCCCTCCCCCCCCACACACACACACCCCCACACCCCCCCTCCCCCCCACACACACACCCCCACCCCTTCCCCCCCCCACACCCCCCCTCCCCCCACACCCCCCCTCCCCCCACACCCCCCTCCCCCCACACCCTCCCCTCCCCCCCTCCACACCCCCCCCTCCCCCACCACACACCCTCCCCTCCCCCCCTCCCCTCCCACACCCTCCCCCCCCACACCCCCCCCCCGCGCCCCCCTCCCTCCCCCCCACACCCCCCTCCCCCCCCACACCCCCCTCCCCCCCACACCCCCCCCACACCCCCCCCCGCGCCCCCCCCCCCCCCCCCCCCCCCCCCCCCCCCCCCGCGCCCCCCCCACAACCCCCGCGCTCACAGGAGAGTGGAATGTTCCCAGTGAGAAGCCACTTCCGTGTTGACCCCCTCCCCCCCACCGCCCCTCCCCCCGGGACCGCCCCTCCCCCCCCACCGCCCTTCCCCCCCGGCACCGCCCCTCCCCCCCCGGTACCGCCCCCACACCCCACACCCACACAGCCAGAGACTGACGGAGCGCTGCTATGGCTTATCCTGGATACGGTGGGGTATGTAGCTCTGCACTCATAGCAAACACCCACCGACCCGACCCGACCCGACAGCAGCTCCCGCGGTACTGTAGAGAGAGGGAGAGAGGGGGAGAGAGAGGGAGGGGAGGGAGAGAGAGAGAGAGAGAGAGGGGGGGAGGAGAGGAAGAGAGAGAGAGAGAGAAGGGGGGAGAGAGGGGGGGGGGAGAGGAAGAGAGAGAGAGAGAGAAGGGGGAGAGAGAGAGGGGGGGGGAGAGAGGGGGGGGGAGAGAGAGAGGGGAACGGGGGAGAGAGAGGGGGGGGAGGAGAGAGAGAGAGAAGGGGGGAGAGAGGGGGAGAGGGAGAGAGAGAGAGAGAAGGGGGGAGAGAGGGGGAGAGAGAGAGAGAGAGAAGGTGGGAGAGAGAGAGGGGGGGGGAGAGAGGGGGGGGAGAGGAAGAGAGAGAGAGAGAGAAGGGGAGAGGGGAAGGGAGAGAGAGAGAGAAGGGGGGAGAGAGAGAGGGGGGGGGAGGAATGGAGAGAGAGAGAGGGGGGAGAGAGGGAGGGAGAGGGGGAGAGAGGGAGGGAGAGGGGGGAGAGAGGGAGGGAGAGAGGGGGGGAGAGAGGGAGGGAGAGAGGGAGGAGAGAGGAAGAGAGAGAGAGAGGGAAGGGGGGAGAGAGAGGGGGGGGAGGAAGAGAGAGAGAGGGGGGGGAGAGAGAGGGGAGGAGGGGGGGGAGAGAGAGGGAGAGAGGGGGGGGAGAGAGAGGGAGAGGGGGAGAGAGAGGGAGAGAGAGAGGGGGAGAGAGAGAGGGAGAGGGGGGGAGAGAGAGGAGAGGGGGAGAGAGAGGGGGAGAGAGGGAGAGAGGGGGGGAGAGAGAGAGAGAGGAGGGAGAGGGGGTCTCTGCACATCTCCAGATGCACCGAGAAATCTCTGTTCTGTTTACCCCCACCATCCCCCCCCACCGTCCCCCCCCACCGTCCCCCCCCCCCCCCCTCCCTCTCCTCCCCCCCCACCCCTTTTCCCCCTCCCCCCTCCCCCCCCCACCCCTCTCCCCCCTCCCCACCCCGTTTTTTTGTGGGGGCCGCATTTCCGCGTATTTTATTCCAGTCGCTGCATTTTTTTTTTGCTCGTGTCAGAAAAGTCGTTGTGCAACGCCGCCCATTCCGGGCGCCACTCATCAACTGTAACCGAAGCACATCGTGTATTCCGGGGGTGGGGGGCGGCTTTGGTCAGACATAACCTGCGTGTGTGAGGTGACGGGGCCTCCTGACTGAATTTCCCCCCCACTTTTCTTTGCAGGACCCTGTGGGTAGCCTTTGGGTGTTGCATCATTTTTTTTGTAGGTTCATGAAGGCTCTGAATGATTAAAAAGGCAAACAACAAAAGACGAGCTTTGTGATATCTCATCACTGATGTGCTTAGTTTGCTCATCTTGCTGTGCATCAGCAGGACCTGGAAAGGCAGACTAGTCACTGGGGGTTGTGAGTCATCCCACTCCGCTTCCATTAACCCCGCAAGTCATAGCTCTGAAGGATAATAATCATAACAATAATCATAATAATCCTTGCATTTGATATAGCGCTTTTCACGTCGGGAGGACGTCCCGAAGCGCTTCACAGAACACACTGTACAGTGAATTGACTGTATATTTGTGGGCGAACGCGGCAGCCAATTGCGCACAGCAGTGCCCCACAAACAGTCGTAGATTGAAAATGACCAATTTATTATTGTTTTGGGTTTTGGAGGGATTATTATTAGGCGTGTGGAGTAAGGAAACTTGCCCAAGGTTTCGCCCTCTGCCTGGAATTGAACTCAGGTCTCTCACTTGCAAAGCGAGTGCTCTAACCACTGAGCTACAGGACTCCACCCCTAAGGGACAAGCAGCGGGAAAGCTTTTCAGACAGCAGTATCAATGGCAAGCTGCATGGTTTTTAGCTGGTTAGACTCGGGCAGTACCCCAACACACACTGTGGTGTCCCCGAGCCTTGGCTCCTGCCATCCTGCACCTAATATTTTCTGGAATTAGGTAAGCAGGACGCGTCCCTCCAGGGAGAGAGCATAGAGGCTAAATTTGCAGGGATGTGGTGGAAGAAGATAGTGTCAATTCATTCAAATAAAAATTGGATAGATTTATTTTGGAAAATAATATTTTGGGATACAGTATGTAAGTAATTTGAAATGTGACAAGTGTAGCGTGCTTGAAAGTACTAGGCAACTTTGAATCCAAGGTTTGCAAACCTTTCCACTGTGATAATAGACTAATCCATACAGAATTAATTGCTAATAACATCTCCATTATTGTAGCATGGTAGAGGGCAGACTAAATGTACCTTGGCCTTTTTTGTCTAGGAATTCCTATGTTACTATGTAATGCACACGTGGGAACTTGGATGAACATGAAGAGGTCATACAGACCATCAAACCTGTTCCACACCCATTAGTTTACTTTATCTGCATCCATCTAGGTTCTCCTCGACCTGGAATTGCTTGAGGCTGAAAGTAGGTGCCAAAAATGGGACATTTTTCAATACTTAAAATCCCTTATCTAGAGGAGTGCAAATGAATGTGCAAAAAGATACAGTGTTAAGAATATTTGATTACTTCATTTGCAATGTTGTTACCTTAGTCATGATATTCTGCATGTGCTTTCTGGGGGTAATAATCCTTTCAAAACAATTGTTCACTCAATCCGTAACTGCTTGTGGGACACTGCTGTGCGCAGTTGGCTGCCACGTTTCGCCCACAAAATATACATTAAATTAACTTTACAGTATATTCTGTGAAACCCTTTGAGATGTCTTGAAGATGTAATAAGGTGCTATATCAAATGCAAGAATTATTATTATTGTTAAAAACCTACAGTTGGATATCTAGGTTTTCATTTGATTGTTAGTATTTCAGTAAGTATAGCATAAACCGAGTAAAACAATGAACACTATGATAGATTTGTGTCCAAGCTTATATCTGAAAATAACCTTTTTGAGCTACATAATACAATGGTGTAGTTGGGGTTAAGGCACTTTATCAAAGCTTTGTTCTGCATCTAACCTCGCTTCACTTAAACTTTGAGTACTTGACACTGATTCTGAGAGCCCAAAATGAGGACAGTGTTCCATTTCCCAGTACAAATATCCATCATCTCCATACGCACAATAGTTAAGGGACAAAATGTGTTTAGGTTTTGTGAATATATCTAAGTCAAGAGGCCATTCCTTTAAATTGTATGTTAAAATAGGTTCACCCTAGAAAAGTTAACATCTGTTTCTAATCTCTGTCATTTTTTAGAATACTTTGGGCGTTTTATACTTGACTTTAAGAAATGGTGTCGTGAATTACTTCATAGCTTTTAGTGCCATAGTGAATGACTGTTGACCAAAAAGATGGTAGTTAAAAGTATAGTTGTATCTGTCCCACAAATATTTGTGTGGATTCTAAAATTTTGACACTTGTTGAAAATATTTTGCTACACACAGCATTTGCAGTAGGAAGGATTAAACACGATGCCAAAATATAAAGGTTACATATTATCTAAGGCTGAACATATCAAATAATGTTACAATGTTGGTAAATGACTGTTATGAGAATGCTGTATACAGATTTTTCTAAATCCATATACTACTTAGGTGTCACCTCCTACACAGAGTGAAGGAGTGACTTTATTGTTTTTGGAGGTCTTTAGGAAGGATATTAGTTTATCGTACTGCCTTAGTTGCTTGATACTGACAATTGGTTTCTTTGCAAAAATAAATCCATCAGTTTAACAGGTGGTTGGTGATATGGGCAGTGCTGTTCAGAACTTGTTGGTAATATTGTGAACAAAGACTGAGTAGATTGCATGGGAAACCTTCCATTATGTAATATATTATATATATATGCATAATATATATGTACAAATAATTCTTCCTCGTATAAATTCATGGACAAACCAAGGTTCAGCCTGTTAATTTAGGTTTTTTGACATATCGCATTCAGCCTTTAGCACCTATTGTGTGTATGGAATAGGTTCCATCATCTGCAACCAGGGCTCCCTCTGCCTCCTCATCCTCCTTGACTTCTCTGTTGCCTTCGACACCGTTGACCACTCTATCCTCATCCACCGCCTCTTCTCTCACTTCAACCTTCACGGTTCTGTCCTTGAATGGTTCAGATTGTACCTCTCACACCTGCACTTCATCTCCACAAAAGGTTTCTCCTCTAGCCCCCGACATGAAAGGCGCTATACACATGTAATTTTGTTGTTGTAGAGGGTGGCAATTTAAGATAGCTAGCAAATGGGGAAAGTAGGAGAATTGTTTTCCATTCCCAGGATCATTGCTGGAATTTAACCAGCTAAAACAATATAGCTAGCCATTAAGAGCATTGTCTGGCAAGCTTCCTGCTGCTTATCCTGCTATCCATTGTTAGAGCTTTGGATTGCAGAGTTAACATGAGCTAAGTGGGAAGAGTCCCACTAACCCTGTTTGAGGGATGCTGCTGTGTGCAGATTTGCTGGTCCGTCTGCTTCCGAATACAGTTACGACATTATACAGCAGTTATCTGGCAATCGCTGGGAGAGGTTTCACCAGTGTTAGGTATTGATATCATTAAAGCTATGACGGTGTTGTTGAAAATTCTGTCGTGATGAAAGGCACTGTTTGTATTACCAGTTCCAGTAATTCTTTAAAACTGTAGCTGGGTGTAAGCATATCTTATTTATTCATAAGCATTAGTAAATATGTGCCATCAGTTATGGGCACGACCTCAATAATGGTTTGGCCACCTCCTCTTTCTGATCTATATGCTCTCTCTTGGGGATGTCATCCGCAAACATGGGGTACACTTCCACATGTACGCGGATGACACCCGACTCTATTTTCCCACCTCACATTGCGACCCCCAGTCCCCTGATATTCTGCCAGCCTGCCTGTCTGACATCAGGGGCTGAATGAGCGCAAATTTCCTTCAGCTGAATGTTGATAAGACGGAAGCCTTTGATTACCTTCTTTCCCCCTCCCACTGACTCAGCCCTGGGATCCATTACTGAGAAGCGCTCTGAGACTCTGTCCGGCATGGAGGGCACAATATAAATCCAAGTTGGTATTGTTGTTGTAATGTTATCAGTTGTATTAAGTGAAAGTGAGACCCTTCACCGTGAAGACTATCTCTAAAGGGGTTGCTCCACAAAGTGTTTCCTCACCATCTAACTACTTGCAGAAATGTGAGCTGACAATTTGAACAGGAAGCTTTGTGGCTGAAGTTTCACTTCTTTTAAGCCAGAATTTTTATACCACATTACGGTTTACAAGTAACAAGTCATTGTGGCTTAGCTGTTTCGTATCTGGAATGGAATATATTCCGTAAAAGTAAGCAGCGGTACCAATAATGATTATTACTTCAATTTAAATAAGACTTAATTTAGTAAAGCATCTTTCACATCGGGAGGATGTGAAAAGTGATTCACAGGATATACTGTAAAGTGGAGTAACTGTGTTTTGTGGCCAACACAGCAGAGGAGTAAGTGCATATGCGTCTTGAAACTAAAAGTTACTTGCATGATGGTATATCTCAATCATTTTTATTTTCTTTATTTTAAAAAAAACAAATCTCTGTTCCTTAGGTAACAAATCTTTTCCCTCCTGAGAAGAGAAATGAGATATAAGATGAATGATTTGCCCCAGGGCCATTACATTGTGTGCCATTACAATCTGGTTATTCGTAACTGCTTGATGCTGGTGTGGTTTGAGCTCCCCTTTAGACTGTTTTCTTGGTTACAATCGATAATTCCCCTTAACTTCTTCAAATGGGGAATTACAAATGGAGATGATCCAATATTTTGCAGTTCTGAGGTACACCAATGTATCAAGCTGCTCTGCCACAGTACCAGTGGTAAACTCAGGCTATTAACAACAACAACAACAAGATTCCATTTATAGAGCGCCTTTCACGTTGGGAGGACGTCCCAAGGCGCTGGCAATGTATTCTGAGGATAACCCCATTATAATGTAGTGTGGTCTGTGTCCATAAACACAAACACCACACCCCCATCAGTTTAAAAAAAAACAACGGTCACTTTCCAGGCCATCAGATGGCCACTGACATCACTTTCTGCCCATTGCTCACCTTATGCTGGTGTAACTTCCTGCATGCTATGTGTATTTTTTTCCCCCTTTGATACATGGCCTCTAATATAGTTGAGGCAAGGATACTGGACTCGTTTAAAACTGCTTGCTGCTGTAATTGGAAGATGGTAGGCTTGATATTCTGTAAAAATTCTAATCAATTGGCTGAAGACCTCATCGTTAATATGAGGTCTAGAGGCATTATGGCTGGGTCTTCAATGGAATCAGAGTACTTTGAGCAGCAGATTACCAATTTTTCATTCGAATTACAATAATGTTGGTAAGCTCTTAGAGACGCTACCTCCGGGAATGGCACTATATGCAAGTTGTTGTTCTTGTATCAGTTAATGTTCCCACCACCCACTGTGTAATGAAATTCCGCTTAAGCTCCCTTTTAGAGCTGTTACTAGGTATTTTGTATTTATGCCTTCTTGCTATGTGCTCACCAACAAGTGGATATAGTTTAATTTGTCCACCCCCTTCAGAACTTTAAACATCTCTAGTGGGTTTCCTCTCAATGGTCACTAGATAATGTTGGGAACACCCAAGGTCTATGTGCCCCAATTGAAAGGATCAATAAATGGGTGAGTTTGCTGCTGTGCTTGCCAGTCTCCTCTGCAGAAGGTGACTGGAGGGGTTTCCTTTCCTCTACAGATTAACTAGTTTAGATGAAGAATCTGCTGCCCTTTTCTGCTACTTTATACATATTTGTTGGCTGGTTAACGCTGTAATCACTATTTATAGAAAATGATAGGTTTATTTTTGTTTGGGCTATTTTTTCTATGTGTTAAAATTAGAGCGAAGCTAGGAAAAGTAGATCAAGAAAACATTTTGTCAAAATGTTGTGAATGTAAGACCATACATACAGAATTGATTTTAGCCACTTTAATAACATAGTACTTAACCAAAAAGGTCCACCCTGTCTGGGCCTGCTTTGTAAACATTGCACTCATTCAAAAACCTCAAAAGAGTGAGGCTATATGGATGTACCATACAACCGTAGAATCTTTTGATACCAATACCAAGCCAGAACTATCCAGGATTTGGGTACAGTGAAATTTGGTCAATTGAATATTGGAAAATGAAATGCAATAGACAGTTGATTTAATAGAATTTAGAAATCCAAAGCCATTTGGATGCATAATCTAAGAATATAGATAGTTAATTGAATATCAGATATACAAATCATTTGGTTATTCAAATATTTTTTTCCATGACCATTTGTATAAAAACATTTAATCTGAATCCAAATAAATGCATAATCACAAATCATTACCTTCTACAGTCCAACACGCATGCCGTTAGCCCGGATATATGAATAGTGGAATACATGTGTTTCGTGGACTGGAAATGAGGTACACTTCTGACTCTAATATTGACATCTATAGCACACAAGCACAGAAGATTTCGTGACAACTTACAGTGTTCCAGCAAACGTTTGCTTGAGTGATTGTTGGCTTCCTGTGCACGTGACCAGCAGACTGGAAGTAAAAGCAGCAGTAAGCTAATGAGCTGACCCAACAGTCCTTTTTGTAGCAAGCCCCAGTTCTGAGTTTATGAACCCAACCAACAGTGTTTTACCAGGGTTGGCCCGTAGCTGCTCTTGTGAAAAGTGTCATTGAAAAATCTAATTTCATTTTGTTGATCTTTTAGCAATTTCCACAATATGGCTGTGCACCAGGAGGTGCTCCAGGGGCCCCTGGGGGTGCTGGTTACCAACAATACCAAGCACAATCAATGGACCACCTCTATGGATATTTTGCAGGAGTGGCTGGTCATGTAAGTCTGATTATATTTTGTGAGTGAGTTTTAAAGCCTGTAAAGATGTTCATGTACAAAAGAAGAATAACCTAGATTTGTTTAAAAAGAAACTTACTTCAAAAATCATGACATTCAAGTTTCGGGTTTAATTAGCAATTAATTACAAATGGTGGACAATTTGCCCTTCAATTCTATATTAGCCCTTGTATATTTGCATACATTTGTTGGTGTCCGATATTGGGTGCAATCCTCCCAACACTCACGTAATAACTAGTAACATTTCACCTTAGTCATAATTGTGATGTAGGCTTTTCAATATGACACTGCCCTAACCATTCCCTCCACTCAGCAAACTGAAGTGTGCTCCATGCCCCCCACCCAATCTGCCCTACCATGGATGGGTGCATTTTTAGCCATTCTGTCCCTGGTCTCTGGAATTCTATCCTGGAGTCCCTTTGACTTGCATCCTTCCATCCTGTCTTCAGAATTCACTTTGCAAAGAAAAATTACATTTGTATAGCGCCTTTCACGTTGGGAGGATGTTCCAAAGCGCTGGAGAGTCAGGGATCTGGACCTGAGACTTGGGGGCGAGGTTTAGGATCAGGAGGGCGGAGGGCAGGAATGGTAGGAGGGTGGCCGAAGGTGTGGTTGAAGAGGAGGATCTTAAGACATGCCTTGAAGGAGATAACAGAGGGGGCAAGATGAAGGAAAGGCTCGAGGACTTCTAGAAATAGTTAATAAATAAAATGCTAAACTTGCTAAAAATGCTCCAAGATCATTGGTCCAGAAAGCAATTCAGGTGCAGCACTCAATTCATATGTAACATTGGCAGACCAGATTTGTGTTAAGTGATTAGGAACTAAATGTCATTCCTAAGATACTCCTAACGTCAGATCTACAATGTGTCAAAGCCCCTCCTAAAACCAGTTGAATAATGTGCAGCCGTTCATGAATTTACATCTTGCATTCATTTAGATTCCAACAAAACTGGTCAAAGGTCAATACAGAACAAAAAAGGTTCTCCATCTAATGAAGGAAGGGAGTGATCAGTTATTGGCAACCATATTACATTGTCAGAAGTGCTGACTTTCGACTGAAATGTTACACCAAAGTCCTATTTGTTCTTAGTTGTGTAGCTTAGTCTTGCAAGCGAGAGGACCTGGGTTCGATTCCCGGGCAGGGCCAAATGTTGTGCAAGTTTCCTTACTCCACACGCCTGTTTATCTAGCAGTAAGTAGGAACCCAATTATTAATCGATTGTCGGATCGCTTTTCCGGGGGTAATCCCTACAAAAAAATAATAATTTGGTCACTTAATCCACGACTGTTTGTGGGACACTGCTGTGCGCAATCGGTTGCCACGTTTCACCCACAAAATATACGATCAATTCACTTTACAGTATATTTTGTGCGGCGCTTTAAGACATCTCGAAGATATGATGAGGCGCTACATACAATCCCTATGAATTACTTGGCAAGCATCTTGACACATTGTTTCCGCCAACAGTCACAAAAAACACGTCAAAGAGTTCTAATATATCAGCCCAGGTGACTTACTTTTTCTGTACTCAGATGGTAATTAACAACTGGAACAGGTTGCCAAGGAGTCCTGTAGCTCAGTGGTTAGAGCACTCGCCTTGCAAGTGAGACACCTGGGTTCAATTCCAGGCAGGGCAAAATCTTGGGCAAGTTTCCTTACTCCACACGCCTAATAAAATCCCTCCAAAACAAAACAATAATAAATTGGTCATTTTCAATCCACGACTGTTTGTGGGACACTGCTGTGCGCAATTGGCTGCCGCGTTCGCCCACAAATATATGGTCAATTCACTTTACAGCATATTCTGTGAAGCGCTTTGAGACGTCGAGAAGACATGAAAAGCGTTATATCAAATGCAAGGATTATTACTATTAACACAAAAAATATTTTTTTTTAATCTCTAGATGCTAAATGGCTTTCAGGTTTTCTTTTAACATATATGTTCATGCAATTTTCTGTTTCCTAAAAAACTTGTACTAGTATTACTTTGAAAGCAGTGTGGCAGAGGCGGGGAGGCAACCCTTGCCCCCATGAAAATATTTACGGCCCTCGATTCTTAACTTGCTGATGTTTCACTATTAAACTGCAACATGGATTCTGCATGCGTACATTTCATCAGGGGGCATCGCTTGTTTTTCTTACTCCAGCAGCTGTCAATCAAGCCAGAGACAGTCCAGGCCCCAGGCTGCCCTACTGTTGGCAAGAATGAGAAATGTTGCGCTTCTCTATTGGCGGTCTTCTCCTGACCATCATTGCTCTCCCAGCTCGGGACTCTGAGCTAAAGCCTATTTAAAGGGACAGGCACCAATTCACAACAATGTTTTTCTTGCATCAATATCAGGAGCCTAGATATATATATATATACCAGCCCTGAGTTGTTTTGTTCATCCTATCCCAAGTGCAATTTTCACTTCAAAGACGATTTTTAACAAGCTAAAGGGATTTGTAGTAGTAAAGGAAGGGCTTACTTGTAAGGAAACTATGTATTTATTATTTAACTAATGATGAAATAATGCTAAATTTGGATGTTAAGCAGTTGTTTCCTTTATTACAGAGAGCATTGAACCACCAACACTATTTGCACTAATGGTATACTTACACCAAGTTTTGTTTTTTAGGATGGCCAGATAGACTCTCAGGAGCTCCAGTCATGTCTTACTCAGGCTGGCATCAGCGGCAGTTACAAACGTGAGTTAGCAAACATTTGACACTTTGGCTAAGATCACTACTTTAGAATTCTCTTCTGCTCGGTGTGATTTCAGGTCTAATCTGAAATAGTTTCTGTGGAATACCAGTGGTGGAAGCTTCACACTGCTTTTATCTTTGAACTGTTTCCAGATATAAAAGATATGGGCCTTTGTCTGTTGTATTTCATTGAAAGACGAGGTGAGGACAATGCCAGAGTTGTTGGAACAACCATGGAAACACTCCGGCATTGCTATTGACATTCACAATACAAATTCTTTCTTCCTGTGCTCATGATAACCAGTCATAGATTTAGTTGCCTTTAGCAACACCCTGTTGGGATGCTTAATATGCAGATATATCAGCCCTACAAAACAAGAATTGTGCAAAGATGACCTTTGTAATTTTTAAAATGAGCCAATCGTGAGTTTTACAGTATTGAGTGTTTATTCACTCTGACCCTACCATTTAAACATTGTGTAATTTTTTTTGTAGTCCAAATGCATGCTGTCATCTGGATGCATATTTTCTTACTGGTTCACAGTGTCTGGGAGGGACATCTATTTCATTAAAATAAATGGGTTGATTCATACTTTGTCCTTACTTGCCAGGAAATCATTCAGGGACTAAAGCAAACACAGCTGTGGATTTTGCGATTAAATTTATTGGACATTACAAAATTCTTCATGATGTGTTTTTTAGAATTACTACATTTAGAAAATATGAATTGTCAAGACCAAGGAATGAAATCCACCTGCTTACATAGCCTTACATTTCAGATTTCAGTTTAGAGGAACTAAATTTCTGAGAGTACTGTTTGGTGGAATGGTTTTATGATGCCATACTGGATTAAACTACTGTGGAAAGATGTACAATAGTGCCAATTGCATGATTTTAAAACCTCTAGAAGAGAGATACAATTAAACACCATATAACTGCATGTTAATTATCTGCATGTCTGCTTACCCACATTGGGGCGTCGATGCATAATTATAGAGAAGCTTCAATGTGGTTCTATCCACGTGGGTGAGGTTACCAGATATGTGTTTTTTTCCTGAGCAGCACATCTGCGAATCAGCAGCAAAAGGTAAGTTTGTTAATTTGTTGGTTAGAGTGAAGGGTAAGAGGAAGTGGGGATAGAGAGAGAGAGACAGGCAGACATTTGTATTTTGTCTGATCTGATATTTTCAATGTTTCCTCATTCACAGTGTGACCTGTTCCATTTGGTGCAGATTTCAGGTTCTCCACTGTAGCGTGATAGAGTATTGTGCAGTATCATGGAATTGTGGAAGACTGATTTTCTGTCTCCCTCTCCCTTCACTGATTTACTGATCTCTTAGACACTCCCACGAAACCTCTGAACAGCCAGGTATCTCCTCACAGAGGGACGGGGGAGGTCACCAGCATTCTCTTGTGCGCCTAACAAAGAGGGGGATGTATTTAAATAAAATGAGCAATGAGTATGCATGATTAAATATTTAAGTTACGATTTATGAATTCAATATCAAAATGTTTATTCCTACACGTGTGACTTTTTTTACGATTTTCTTACACAGCATTCTGTCTGGAGACCTGTAAGCTGATGATTTCCATGCTGGATGTATCCTTTTTCAAACAATAAATCTTTGGTACAGAATTCTGCTGATAATAAACAGCAACAGGCACGTGTATTACAAGTGTGAACATTCTCTGAGGAGAAAATAGTTGATGGACTATCCTTTCATGCTTCACTACAGTAGATAATGTAATGGGACATTGCACAAGTTGTTTTCATGATTTAAAGTTTTCTTTGTGTCCTTCAGTGAGGTTTTTCTTTGCTTTCCCTCCTGAGTCCCTATGTGCATATTTTTCTGTGTTCCTATTTCTCTAGTTATTTGTAATCCTTGGTTCACAATGTAATGCAAGAACTTAAACCTACTTCAATCAAGTAAGCAATAATTAGTCCAGAGTCGATCTAAATTTCCATTGCCTCAGTACAGTTTAGTGTAACAGACATGCCTGATAAATAGTGATCTTCCTGTTTATCTATTTTTCTATTTCCTGTTGCATTTTGCCTTTGATTCACTAGCACTAGTGTAACTGTGCTTATTCCTGTCATTTAAGACTGGAAGTGGCTAGAGTAGGTGGCGAAAAGCAAGAAAATATAAGGAGCTGTGTAAGTTGGTTGAGGAATTTTTTACCACTAGCTGAAAATATAGGCAGAAAATTCACATTGATTTGACAATATTAAAATGCAAGTTTTTTTTCACTGCTAAATCTGGCCTCTGTTGATATTATGTTGGCTGCAAACATTTAATTAAAAAACGGGGAGTGACAGTAAAAGTACAGCAGACTAAAATGTGCGAAAAGAACGGTAAACCCAGGTAATATACAATGCCCAAGATGCATGTTTCATTCTGTCACTGATTTTCAAATATCAAATCAAAAGCAATTTCTGCAAAATGTTCCTCCCAAGTTAATCAACTAAGCCTGACTCAGTTGGTAGCACTCTCACCTCTGAGTCAGAAGGTTGCAGGTTCAAGCCCCTGTTGGAACTTTGAACTCACGGTCTAAGGCTGACACTCCATCGCAGTGCGGGGAGAGTGCTGCCTTGTTGGAGTGTTGTCCTTTGGAAGAGATGTTAAACTGTAATTTTCTTTCAAGCATTATTGTGATTTTGCAGGTTTAGTTCTGCTGGTCTATCATTCTCGTGGAAGGCACCTATAAAGCAATTTGAATTCTTAATGCTTATTAACAGTGCGATTGTTCTGGAACAATGGGCTTTTCAGAATTCAAAGAGCTCTGGACAGCGCTCAATGCCTGGCGCCAGAACTTTGCTACTTTTGATAGGGATAGGAGTGGCACCGTTGACCCCCAGGAACTACAACAAGCTATTTCTTCCATGGGTAAATTATGTTTGTCCCAATCGATTAAATTGCGCGTGTTTGTGCATGTGTTTTTCTTCCCTCTTAAAGTTGGGACATCCTCCTGATGTGAAAGGCGCTAATACAAATATAATGCTGTTGTTGAACATTCGTGTTCAAATCCCTTCACTCTCTGGCACCTCCCTACCTCTCCAATCTCCTCATTTCCCAATCCACCACCCGGTGCCTCCGCTCGACTGGCACTGGCCTCCTGCTTGTCCCTTGCACCCTCTGCCCCACCATCGCAGGTCGCCCTTTCAGCCAATATTCCCCGAAACTCTGAAATATTCTCCCTCAATCCCTCCACCTTGCCCCCTCTCCCCTTTTTCAAGTCCCGCCTGAAAACCTTCTTCTTCAACCGTGCTTACAGACACCTCTCACCCCACCAACCCCCGGCTCGGAGTCAAGCTCCGCCACTGTTAAGCGCTCTGAGACATTACCCTGCGTGGAGGGTACTATGTAGGTGCAAGTTGTTGTTGTTGGATTGCCAAAATATTGTAACTTAAGAATACTTTTTTTTGGTTACTTGTTTAATATTATGCTGTTGGTCTTTGCCTTCTAATTCTACCTGCTTAAAATCTCATTTCAAAACCTCACATAATATAAGAGCATAAGAAATGCGAGACAAAAAAAGACCAAGGGCTTTAGTTCGTGTCCAAAACGTTTTCTCACACCTTTTCCTTTTTCATGACTTTAACTACCAATGACATCTTTAAACCACCTCTGCTGCACAGCTACTGATTGCAATCCCAATGCTTTTTCTGAATCCCGGGATTTGGGAATTTTAATGCGCCAAATCTCGGGACCCTGAGACGCTAAATCTTACCTAGTGGAACACCAGGGAACTTAGCAAAGAGCACCAGTGCTGCCCAGAACCTCTCCCCGAACCACTCACTGACTCGCCTCCTTCCCTGCCTACCTCAGCAACACAGCGTCTGATAACAAGGGCTGACCGAGATGGGAGTTAGTGATGGGCAGATTTATCGACAAGAAGAGAAAGTGGTACAAGAAGAGAGAGTGACAGAAAAATGTCACTGGTGCATACGTATACTGAGAGAGAAAAGGGGGACGTGACGCAGGACTGGAAGAGTTAGTGACACAAGCATAGAGAGAGATGCGTACAGAAAGATAGACGTATATTCACAGAAAATGATCGAGGTTCATTTTTGTTAATATTTTGTTTTTGTTAATATTTTTTAATACAATCCTGGAATTCTCTTCTATAAATCCTGGGATTTTGGGAGCACTGTTATCAAAAAGAATCACAGGATTCTGGGATCAGGATTCCTTGGATTGCAGCCCTTATGCACGGCACTCTGATGACATCCATTTTTTGAAACATTGCATTTTGAAATGCTTAAGTTTTTTTTAAAAAACTGACTAAGTATTACCTGCTGTTTACCACTGAGGGTCCACTGTAGAACTTAATACAACATTTCTGAGATAATGTTTAAAGGAGCAACATAACCTAATTAAAATCACTAAAATTTGATACCCAAGCAACTTACATCTGAAGGGTTCTCTCTATATATTTTCTATACATTCTATTCCCTATATTGCAATTCTATAAATCTTACCAATGGTATCAAATGCACCTGGATGTGTTACTGCCATTTCCTTCTCTTTCCCTCCCCGTTGCTCAAAGTATCAAGCACTAAAGCAATACATGTGATTTTTTCATACAAATGAGTTTTTGTTTATATGTATTAAAATGTATTTTGTTTTAACAGTCTATCCCTTTCATTTGTTAGGATACAGATTGTCTCCTCAGGGTATGAATGCAATAGTAAAGCGATACAGCACTGCTGGGAAGATCTCATTTGATGATTATGTGGCCTGCTTTGTGAGACTCCGAACTCTCACAGGTAGATAGATACATGAATCTAAATGTCATTATGTTTTCAAAAACAGTATTTTTTATTTAGTGCCTTTCACATGAGTCTGAGTGGAAACCTGAATTGATAAAGTAAGGAGAAGGTAGCCAAAAGCACAGTTGAAGAGAGCTTTTCAGGCAGGGAGAGTGAAGTGGATGGGTTTCAGAAGAGAGTTTCAGAGAATGGAGACAAAGTGGCACGAACAGACAAGGGACATGAAAGGAGCCAGCGGTAAGGTGGGACCACACCATGAAGGCATTTGAATGTGAGGATAAAGATCTGAAAGTCAATCCCTGGGGGTCGGGAGCCAACAACATGGGGATGATTGGCCCAAGGAGCTTGTTGAAGGAGAGAAGATGCTATGCACAGGAATGCCGTTGATATCACTTCACAAAATAAATGACAACGGCATTTCTGTGCATAATGTGCTTACAACACCTAGGAAGTGTTGCCAGAAGTGACTTGGTAACCCCAAAAGAACTGACGAGTAGTTGTTTTAAGCATGCCTCATTATAACATAGAGCATTAATTTATCTACTCATACCTCCTCAATATAACATGATTGGCCTATATATATTCTGGATACAATTGTTCTGCAATACTTTGTGAAAACACACTTGAATATCCAGGGCTTGGTATTCACTTTGATTGAAATGGAGACATGTAAACAGCTGCTACTGAAGCTCTGCACCCTCAGCTGGTGGTAACACAAATAGACTCAGTGGGTTGTGATGTGTGTCTGACCTGTGGGGAGGATGATGGTGGCAGTGCTCTCACACTTTAATGCTGAGTTGCGCTGGTCACCAAGAGGCTTGCAAGGATTTCCTGGTACCTACTATCCAATCCACCGAGAGAGGATTCAAACCTTTGCTTGTTAGATGTCAAATGACTAACTTGCGACTCTTCTCATTGGGGGCAAGGTGGTGAGAGAGGTAGGTAGGGCCTCTTTGGAGCTGAATTGGCTCTGAAGTGATGTGCTTGGTAACAGAATGCTGAAATAGTCTACCCTCTGTGTCTTTGGTCCTGTTTCTGAGACAGGTGGGTTTGCAGTATTACAAGATACAGCCAGCCTGGCATTGCAGCAGATGGGACTTGGAAAGCCAGACCATCACTGAGGGGCAGGGGTTCTTCGCACTTAGCTTTTATTAAAATTACAAGAACATCTAACTAAGCTGCACAATCATCAGGCAGTTCACTTGATAGTGTTCACAATCAGCCTCCTTGCCAGAAAAATAGAAATTTCCGTTCCGGAGTGTAGCATGCAAATGTAGCTCTCTATCTGGATGCTCTTAAGCATGGCTTTTGGTTTCTATGTGTGTCAGATATGCGGCTGACGAAACACAAAGTACTTTTTTGCCATAAATTCTACTTTTTTTCTTTTCAGATGCCTTCAGAAGAAGAGATGCTTCCCAACAAGGGGTTGTTAATTTTGCATATGATGATGTGAGTACAGATGAGTACTTCTTTACATTTGTGTACTTATTTTAATAGACTACTTCCTCTACGTAAGGAAACGGAGAGTAGAATGGTTAACCAATCATCCTCCTTCTCCTGCCTCCATCCCCTTGCCCCACCTCTTGAGCTGAAACATAAAAACATTATTCAAGTCATGGCCAACCTTCTCTAAAATTATAGGATGCCCTCTGTATAATTTGCCTCCCATTATTGTGCTTCAGTGTCTATTGGTGTGCTTCAGTTTGCAATACTGTAGCTTTGTAGCATTGTTTCACCCGACCATCCAGATTATGTCATAGAAATCAACAAGCTTTCTGCAAGCGTGTGCAGTGATGTCTGTCACCAGTCATGTTATCAATGATTTTGAGACTCGGAAGTGCTGACCAGTAGCCACTGATATCTTATGGGTACCAAATACTACCTTATAACAGGTTTGTCCTTTATTTAGGAATGTGGAAGCAGCTTATCGTAGCGCTTAACAATGGTATAGCCTGAGCCCGAGCCAGGGGGAAGGGGAAGGTGACCATAGGCGCAGTCAAAAAGGAAGGTCTTCAGATGCGACCTGAAGATGGGGAAGGAGGGGGTGAGGCGAAGGGGTTGTTGGAGGGAATTCCAAAGTTTCGGGGTGTAGTGGCTGAAGGCACGGCCACCAATGGTGGAGCAGAGGATTCAGGGGGACACGGAGGAGGCCGAACCCAGTAGAGCGGAGGCAGCGGGTCTGCTGTGGGGAGAGAGGAGGTCAGAGAGATTGGGGTGTGCCAAGGAATGGAGGGATTTAAACACTAGAGTGAGGATTTTGAAGTCGATCTGCTCTGCGACAGGGAGCCAGTGGAGTTTGGCAGGGACTGGAGTAATTGGGGCACGAAGTTTGGTGCGGGTGAGAATGCGAGCGGCGGAGTTTTGAATGAGCTGGATTTTGTGAATAGTGGAGGAGGGGAGACCGGTGAGGAGGGTGTTAGAGTAGTCCAGCTGAGAGGTGACAAAGGCATGGACAAGGGTTTTGGCAGTTTTTGGGATGAGGTACTGTTGGAGATAGGCAATGTGGCAGAGATGGAAGAAAGCGGTGCTGGTCAGGGACCGAATGTGGGGGAGGAAGGATAATTGGGGAGCAAACCTGACTCCAAAGTTGCGCACAGGATCGGAGCGTTTTAAGGACAGGTCGGGTAGGTTGAGGAGGTTGGAACATTTCTAGTACATTTCTAGAAGGAAAATTACTAGCAGTGACCATTAGGTGTTTCCTTCTGTTATTTTGAAAGAAAGTTTAAACTCTCAAATATATTAAATGAGCATTTGTGAAACATTTTTCCCACTTATGAGAGACTGTCTAGTTAAATCAAATTTTTTAAAAAAAAAACACTGGCAGTATTCTGTTTATTTAAGTTTCACCAAAAAAAGATTAAATTAAAAACTTAGGTGCACTTCATTAATAAAAACATTTTTTGCCTTTCAGTTCGTAGCATGCTCTGAGTCAGAAGGTTGTGCATTCAAGCTCCATGCTAAGACTTTAAACTCACAATCTAAGCTAACGCAATGTAATGCGGGGAGAGACTAAATTGTTGTAGGTGCTGTCCTTCAAATGAGACATTAAATCAATGTCCTCTCTGCTGGTTCTGATGGACATTAAATATCCCATGGCACTGTTCAATAAGAGTAGGGAATTTCTTCCAGTGCCCTGGCTGACAATCCGCCAGCTAAAATTGGTCATTCACTTTACGTCTGATTGTGGGACATTGCTGTGTGCAAATTGACTGCCGTGTTCACCTACAAAATAATCACTTCACTCTACAATATAGGCGGGTGGCTAGGGCTAATGCTTCCCCCACTCCCTCAAATCTACCTACAGCTCACTTCTTTAAGGGGAGCTGGGAGAGGAGAGCCCTGAACTGTGAGGACCACATCCAGTCCTCTGAACAGCCACAGCCTGCGGTCCACTTTTGGTCCGCTGGCTTGCTCAATGGGGCCTATATACACTCAAATACAGAAATTAAATATGTGAGTGAATCAAAAATAGGATTATTGTTGATGTGGCACATCATCAGAACATCTCAAAGCAGTTGCCTGTGGAGTGTATTTTGCATTGTATTTTTCTGGGCAAGTAAATAAGTACACTTGTTTCAGGTGAAATTTGCCCTTCTCAGCAGAGAGCCTTAGCTGCTTAAGTAGTGAAAATTCACTAAAATAAAAGTTGGAGTGGAGTCTGTCACAATAATTTCTAAATAATATATTTTTTAAAAATCATACAATGCCTGGTTTCATTCTTTTTGTCATAGTAATATCCTGATCTGATGGGGTGAAGTGGCTGGAAAAGGTCTAGGTCAATTGTGATGAATGATGTAACTATAAGATGACGTAACAGTCATTCATTCCACTTACTTATGATTACCAAATTTAGTTCCTTCAAGTTTTCTCCCACCCCACACCACTTATAAGAGGATTGATTCTCACTTCATGTTTGAATAAAAACATTCAGAAAAGACGAAATTATTTTTTTTTAAATAAAATCTATACATGATGTATAAACTAGCTGAATTTACCAACGGAAATACTATTATGGCATTTGGATGGCCAGGTGACAAAATGCCATGTTATGATCACTTTTCGGGGTAATCCTTAAATAAAATTAATAATAATAATTTCGTCACTCAATCTATGACTGTTTGTGGAACACTGCTGTGCGAATCAGTTACCACGTTTTACCCACAAAATATACAGTCCATTCACTTTACACTATATTCTGTGAAGCGCTTTGAGATGTCTCAAACATGTGATACGGCGCTATACCAAATGCAAGGATTATTTTTAAAATATATTGTAATGACTCCATCAGAGATTGGTTAAAACTGGTATGCAGATCTTATGTATAAATATATAAATTAAAACAAATATCGACATGGATGCTACAGTGAGTGTCTCAAAGGCAGTTATTAACTTGATGTTAATGTGCATTTAGACAACTGAATCTAACCCTTTTGAAGAAAGATTGCTTTTAATTTTTTTTAATCTAACTTGCAGTTTAGTACATGTAGTTAAGCCTTCCAAGACGCATGACGTTTCAGTATAGGAACACTTAAAAAATCGTTGAAGCCATTATTTTGGCTACATTGTACTTACAATGTTAAGACCTGTATAACAAGCATTATCATTGCTGTTTTATAAATTTGTATAAAATGCAAGCTATAACATTCACATGTTTTTCTAATTTCTTTCAGTTCATCATATGTACCATGTGCATCTAGTTGAAACCGGACAGTTGACTTTTTTTTCCTCCAAAAGAACCTAACTCTGCAATCCATTCACTGTCTATTAGCCTGCTCTTTATATGCAGTTATGTAATACATATATAGAGAAATATGCATGGTTGGTATGTATCCAAATGTTGATGATTCCATTATGTTTCATTAAAGCCAATATTGTGAAATTGTTAGCCTTTTAATATCTAATAACACAATTTTTGTACTAAATTGTCAATGGTGAGGATACTACTTTTGTTAAATGTTTTACAAGCTTGTAAAAACACCAAAACAAATATAGGTTCCATAATTTTATTTCATTAAAATACACGAGTTATACTAATTTTGTGTGTATGGCTTTTTTTAAAAAACAATTAATGAAAGATGACTCTCGGAGGGAAGTAAAGATGACACAATAAAATAAAATGCCCTTTATAATAATAATAATGCTTACATTTTGTATTCAGTACTACCCCATTATCTGCATATGTTGGCAAAAATCCACTCAAAAGTCCAATAGATCCCAATCCTTGCCAGGTTTCCTATTGAACAACGGATTGATTTCAAGATCCCCAAATGCACCTTATGCCCTGGCACCTGCCTATCGTTCACCCATAAAATAGTCACTCCACTTTACAATATATTCTGTGAAGCACTTAACAATGTGACAAGGTGCTATATCAAATGCAATGATTATTATTATTACCTCTCTGACCTACTTGCACCCCACTCCTCCCTCTACCTCCTTTGCTCAGTTGGCTTCAGCTTCCTGCATGTCCCTCTTCCCCTCTGCTCCACTGTTGGTGGCTATTTTCAGCCACGAAGCACCACAAATATGGACCTCCCTGTCTAAATCCCTTCAGCTTGCTCCCAATTTGCCTGACTTGAGATCGCATCTGAACCATGTATATGGTCGCCTCCCCACCCAACCTCAGTGTCAAGCTCTTATCATTAAGTTCTCTGAGATACTACCCTGCATAAACAGCACTAGATAAATGTAAGTTAAATTTTTTTTTGCTGGCGTAAGAGGTTGGCTGAAATGAAGTAATGGAAGAAAAACATATTCACTTTACAATGGTATCATGTAATTGATGTCAAGTGTATTGACTGTATTTGTAACCAAACGTGACAGCCAATTTTCTCACAGCAAGATCCCACAAACAACCATGAAGTGAATCACCAATTTATCTGGAGGATTGTTAGTTCAGACACCAGGAGAAACTGTGTTAAATAGTAGCATAGGATCATTATTTACTCAAAGAAGCAGACACATAGCTGAGGCTCTGGCTAAAGCATGAATACCAAGATATTTATGCCGCGCACACCTCTCCTCCCACTCCCTCTTCGAACCCCTCCAGTCCAGTTTCCGCCCTGCCCACAATACAGAGACTCAAATGACATCCTCTCTTATCTGTGACCAGGGCTCCCTCTGCCTCCTTGTCCTCCTGGACCTCTCCGCCACCTTCGACACAGTCAATCACGCCATCCTCCTCCACCGCCTTTCCTCCGTCGTCCACCTCAGTGGGACCGCACTCACCTGGTGCGAGTCCTACCTCACAAACCGCCAGCAGTACATCTGCACAAATGGCTTTTCCTCTCGCTCTCACCCGGTTACCTGCGGGGTACCCCAAGGGTTCATCCTTGGCCCCTCCTCTTCCTAATCTATATGCCCCCTCTTGGGGATGTCATCCGCAGACATGGGACCCATACTCTTTGGCTCTCATCAACGTCTTAAATTGTACGGTTCTCACCTCCTCCACCTACCCGACCTGCCCCTAAAACTCCAAACCCGTATGCAACCTAGGCCTCAGGTTCGACCTCCAATTATCCTTCCTCCCCCACATCCAGTCCCTCACCAGCATCGCTTTCTTCCAGCTCCGACGCATCGCCCGTCTCCACCAATATCTCACCCCAAAAGCCGCCAAAATCCTGGTCCACGCTTGTCACCTATCGGCTGAACTATTAAAATGCCCTCCTTGCCGGTCTCTCCCCTCCACTACCATTCATAAAATCCAGATCATCCAGAATTCTTCCACCCCCATTCTTACCCGCACCAAACTCCACTCCCCGATTACCCCAGTCCTTGCCAGACTGCACTGGCTGCCTGTCCCAGAGAGGATCGATTTCAAGATCCTCTCTTGTTTTTAAATCCCTCCACTCCTCTGCACCCTCCTACCTCTCTGACCTCTCTCTTCACAACAGCACCCGTTGCCTTCGTTCCTCCGGGTCTGGACTCCTCCTTGTCCCCCGAATCCTCCGCTCCACCACCGGCGGCTGTGCCTTCAGCCACTATGCCCCGAGGCTCTGGAACTCCCTTCGGCTCGTCCCCTCTCTTCCTATTTTCAGGTCTCGGCTAAAGACCTTTCTTTTCGACCGCGCCTTTGGTCACCTTCCTCCCCCTGGCTTGGCCCCGGGATCCGTTACTGTGAAGCGCTCTGAGATGCTGTCCAGCGTGGAGGACGCTATATAAATTCAAGTTGTTGTTGTTGAAGATATGAGACTTGAATATGACGCTACTCAACTCTCTTCCTCCCACCTTCGGTACCCAGTGAGAAATTTTATACAGTGGATACACCTTCCACTATATAAAATTTAAATTGTTGTTGAAATGATAGGCCAGTCACCTAACATTTGTGGAAAACATGCAAGAGTTATACAGCAATCAATCATGTGTTTGTGAATAGCTTCACACATTCTAACATCTCTTAATTGTTTGGCTTTGTAGTGAAACTCCAGACCAAACTCCTGATCACAAACACTAGCTCAGGTTCAGATCCCTGGCTGTCCAGCGCCTTGGGACGTCCTCCTGACGTGAAAGGCGCAATACGAATGTAATTTGTTGTAGCTCCACCATCGTGCATCAGACTTTCAGCATATCTGCCCTAATACCTCAATGGTACTCTATCCCACAGTCCCTATGCATTGCCCCCTTCAAGGTCTGCCTCAAGACCTTCCTCTTTAACCATGCATTTGGTCATCTTTCCCTCCCATGCCTCAACACCACCCTCAGCCCCCACCCCTACCTCGGGTGGAAGCCCTGGACTGTCCAGCCCCTTGGGCCGTCCTCCCGACCAGAAAGGTGGTATATAAATGTAAATTTGTTGTCTTTATTCATATACGTGGAGTCCTGTAGCTCAGTGGTTAGAGCACTCGCTTTGCAAGCGAGAGACCTGAGTTCAATTCCAGGCAGGTCAGGGCGAAACCTTGGGCAAGTTTCCTTACTCCACACAGAGCCTAATAATAATCCCTCCAAAACCAAAAACAATAATAAATTGGTCATTTTCAATCTACGACTGTTTGTGGGACATTGCTGTGCGCAATTGGCTGCCGCGTTGCCACAAATATACAGTCAATTCACTTTACAGTGTGTTCTGTGAAGCGCTTTGGGACGTCCTCCCGACGTGAAAAGCGCTATATCAAATGCAAGGATTATTATTATTATTATTATTATACAGTATTACTTGACACTCATCCTGCACTCCACTGCCCAATGCTTTATTTGAAGGGACTTGTTAGAAGGTCAATGTTCATGGCCAAGCAACAATTGGAGAACTGAAAACAAATATTGTACCAAAGAAACATTTGAAAACAAAGTGCTTATGGGCCTGAAAAAAAAATTGAACATTTAATGTGCACTTACATTATTACCCTACCTCTCTTGACCTCCTCTCCCCTCAAAACAGTACCCGTTACCTTCATTCCTCCGGGTCTGGTCTCCTCCTTCAGCCACTATGCCCCGAGGCTCTGGAATTGCCTTCCTCACTCCCTTCGTTTCACTCCCTCCCTTCCTATTTTCAGGTCTCAGCTGAAGACCTTTCTTTTCGAACGCGCCTTTGGTCACCTTCCTCCCCTTCCCCCGGCCCCGGGATCCGTTGCTGTGAAGCGCTTTGAGACGCCGTCCGGCATGGAAGGTGCTATATAAATCCAAGTTGTTGTCATTGCAATTTGGCTGGTTATATTTTCAGAGAGAGGGTCGGTGTAATGATTTAACAATAAACCCTTTATCTCCAAAGTGACCAAAACCAGTCTAATCCCTCTGAAAATGATTGCAATTCCCATGATGTGTCATTAAATCTACCAATTTCTGCTAAATTTGACTCTTTTGTTCACTATGTAACCTTGAATTGTAGACACCTCACGTTACAGGCCTCTTATTGTTTGAAATTAAATAGCACCCAAATCCCAAACTCATTAATTGAGGGTAAAATAGGCCTAACCTATCGCCTGCCCTCAAAAGCACACCATAGATTGGAGACTCACATTAAGTTTACTCCCCTAATGTGATTAACTTGCTGATTTCAGGGGTTTTTTTGCAGTCTTTTTTCAATAGTGTTCAATCAGGATAAACACCAGCCTGATCAACCTGCTAATGAAGTCAAAATTCTTCAGGCTATTTATTGACTTTACTTGTCAGTGCCCACTCGCCAGTTGCTCACATATGGGAGGGAGAAAAAGCAATGCTTTTGAAGCATTCCAATGAAAATTGTTTCCTCCAGTTACACACTCCACGGAGCACCCCGGATTGAGGCCAATCAAAACCATTCTATGGAAAATATAGGAAAGGTTATTTCACTCATTTTCTAAATCAGCATCTTTTCCACTGTCAGCTTGAGGGGAGAACATCAAATTGCTGACAATTCAGTATTCTTCTACTCGAATGGTACACTAATATATCATGTCATCAAGCTTAGTGTGATGAAGGGCATTTCCAGCTAAAAGCTGTAAATCTAATGTGTTCCATTCCATTAGCCACATTGTGGCTGGAATTTAAAATATTACAATTTTGTACTGCAGCTACAAAAATGTTTTGAGAGTTGAATCTTCATAGCAGCAGAACTAAAATCATCTATTTGGCAAAGATCACTGTTCTTTTAATATATTCACAACCTCGGTTACCATTCTCCCCCCGCCAGCCCCCCACCCCAAGTGGCAGCACTAGTTTCTTTGAATAGGCAAGAGTAACAATTCAAACAATTTAACAGATCAATGAAACAACTGGAAAGTCTCCTACAAGCAATTAAAATATTAATTTATCAATTGTCATGGTCATGTAAAGTTTTGTATAGCGTAAAACCATAATCAATACTATGACTGATTGGAATTTACAAGAACTGTACAAATATTTTTGGATCTGTACGAATAGTTCCAATCGACCAGAATCACCTTGTGGTAGCTGTATTCAATTTGCTTTCACTTTTGATTTGGAAAGACCATTTGGACCAACGACAGCAGCACTTCTTCGAGCGTAGTTGGCATTAATGCTGCTTTCTGCTCAGTAATGGCCACTTCAAAAGTGCGCTCTCCAACTGGATTAAAATTGAAATGGCTACTCTGAAAGCATTCCTCTAAAGTGCTAATTCCAGACTCAAGGAACGCACGAAGCAAGCAGGCAGACTATTAATGGACTGGCAGAGGAAACACATCCTCTCAGCCTTGAATTATGCAGCGCTGACCTTTGCTTTGCTAATCCTTGACGACATGTGACCGTCTGCAAACACGTTCCAACACAGAACCGAGACATTATGACGTAACAGTTGCAAAGAACACACAAACTACTCTCCTACGTTCTGATGTACAGTTCTGGTGCGGCCGAGATGGTGAGTTAAGACCCAAGAAATATTGAACCGGTGAACAAAACATAAGTGATGCATAATCACCTTCCAGTTATCCATCCATGAAGCCTTTATGAAGAAGGAATATGGACACAGGAAGAACTCTTTTGGGGCACTCCTATTCTCAGTCCAGGAGATTTCCTCACAAACAGGTCAAGGTGGGATTCTTACCAATTTTACTGAAGGAACCTAACAATGCATTTGGCTTATCCACAATGGTGATAGGCAGGGAATCATTTCTTATTGAAAAGGAATGTAACCCTCCAAATTTCATGGATGACAACGCAAGCAAAAATCTTCACGAAGACAATGTGTTCAGAAATTCTTCACTGATAAGTTCAACACATGCGCAAGTACATACAACACAGACGCTCCCAGGAGTAAGAACCTATGGACATTTAGAATGGTTCCATTATGAACTGCCAGTACCACTCTACCCATCTTTCTGGGATGTTCTCACAAGTAAAGACGGTCCAAAAAAGGCTGAGCAAAATTTTCCAGGAAATGAAATGATCGTTGAAGAAAACGGTAATATGTGCATGTCAATTCCTCGTGCTCTGCCAGCTCTTGAACCATTCAAATGCATCATTACTGCTCATCGAAAGACATCAAAATCACAGAGGGCAACTTTCTCTCAGTTCCTCATCAATGACTATAAATGTGTGAATTTTGAACCATCTCTGACACCATACTGGAAGCAGGAGATCTTCGTTCCATGTCCACTCAAAGAAGCAAAGTATAAAATTCAATGGATTGTGCAGTACAAAAAGCCAAAAGGACGTTAACTAAATCGCATAGTGATTTAAACAGGTTTGGAAAAACACTTTAGAAGTTCAGAAACAAAGTAAATCGACGTTTATTNAAAAAAAACTTCCCGGACAATGCTCGGAGTACATAGATTTTACAATTGATAGAGGGATTCATACAATCCTCAATTTCATCCCACACCAACGGTTCACATCCAGTAAGATTTTTTTGGTTGAAATGATGGAAATTCTGAATATATGTAGAGGCTCCTAGGAGAAAATGTAGTTTCTTACAATTCCTCTGACTTCATTCACTTGTAGGCATTTGCTTTATGTTTAGGCAAGAAGGTGAAGTTAGATGGAACTGGACCCAATAGCATTTCACTGCAACACAGATATACAATTGAGTCTTAGAATCAATGTAAATATGTAATATTACATTTAGGTTTTGAAATAAATGTATTATAAAAGCAGAACCTTCTGCATTAATATTAATAGGTACACTAGTCATGCAAGAGCCACGAGGATTAAAACGTATATTGCCACATTTTTCAGATGGTGGAATATTGCTGTGAAAATGAGTTTGTGAGAAAAAACTGTATTTGTAAGAAACTAAGCAAAATGTTAGCAAACTTAATTTTATAGCAAAATGTTCATACATAGACTCATTTAAAATAATCTAGAGAATAACATTGCAACATTAAATTGACTTGGTAATTGAATTATCCTTTGACTGGAGCATCACTTAGCCTTAACATTTCAAAAGCTTGTGACCTTACCTTATCTTGATCCAGTCATACACATTTTGACTAGCCATCAGCGTCTCCAAATAGTCTCTGCCCAAATAGTAAGGAGGCCTTTCATTGATTTTCTGAGGCACATGTTCCAGCACACCTACTGGAATGTATCTAAAAAGAGAAGAAAAGTAACATGAATCTTTCTACAGCAAAATTGGATCATGTTCACATGCAATGTATCAATGCTAATTTTACAAACCGCCCTTTACCTGCATAAGAATGATAACCACTCTAGGAGGAATGTTCTACTCTTTTCCACTCCTTGTGTGTCAGATCCCCAATGCTCCAGACCGTAGTCCCTGAAATCCTGTAGAATTTCAAACCTCTCTTGAGAAGAGATGTCCCAGTGTCGTTGCTCTTTGATCTCCGTGAAAATCCAGGGCTTAATAAGTGCTCCCCTAGAATTAAATAACACCTCTGACATATTTGTAGGTAATGGCTCATTTTGTATTTTTCAGGAGTCCATTATACAGAAGGAAAACGACTTTACCACTAGATATTTTGTCTCCTCCAGCATATCTATTCAAGGTAGCTAGTGTATACAGTCAATCATAAATAATTAGTTTAGAATCTGTGAAAGCCAATATTTAGCCAAATTCTTTTACAGTAGGTCAAGACCAAATACAAATAGCTACACTTTCCCTCTTGTATAATGTTAATAGTGGCACGTAGATCTAGGTTTGCATTTCAATATTTCTTTCAAAAATACATTAAAATTCAACCCAAAATTCTTGATTTAGGGTTGAATTTTGACAAAAGCAGATAAGACTAAATATTGAAATGCCGACTGCCTGAACTGAATATGGAAAAATTAGATCTTCATCTGTACCACAGTTGTAATAGTTTTCATTAAGAAGTTTTAGTACAAGAAAGTGAATTGGATTAAAATCCTGTTTCACAGTATTTATGATTGTTTATTCAAAAACCATGTGGCACTTTGCTGACTGCTGGAATGTCTTCTGATAATGTTAATGAAATCAGTAAATAAAAGTCTACTTTAAATGAATGGGTCAACAATATTGTTTTCACTAATAATTTGTTGGGCAGCAATGCCAATATAACAAATTTCATGCCTCTCAACAAATACTCTCCTTTAAACAGGTTGCTAAGGTAGATGTAAACACATAAAACCACCAGAGTCTAGTTTGCATTTATAATAAAAAATAATCCTTACATCTGAAATAGCTCTTTATCAGATTTTCGAAACATCTCAAGGTACTTCATAGCATATACTGTGAAGTGAATTGACTGTATATTTTGTGGGAGAAACGCGGCAGCCAATTGTGCACAGCAGTGTCCCACAGACAGTCTTGGATTGAGTGACCAAATTATTATTATTTTTTAAAAATGGATTACTACCTCTGGAAAAGCGATCTGCCAATCGACTGACAGCTGAGTTCGTACTTACCGCTAGGTAAACAGAGACACATGGTTTTTTTCTAGGTAAATATAATATTAATTTGTATAGTGCCTTTCACGTCAGGATAATCAGGGGTTTGGACCCAAGCGGGGTGGGGGGGGGGAGTTGTGGGGGGGAACAGGGAGGGTAGGAAGGTGGCCAAAGGCACGGTCGAAGAGGAGGGACTTAAGACGTGCCTTGAAGGAGGCAAGGGAAGAAGAAAGGCAATGCGAATGTGGGATGGAGTACCAAAGGGTGGGAGCAGAGAAGCTGAAGGCCTGACTGGTGATACTGGGGCGGGCCGGGTGCAGGACGTGGAGCAGGCTGAAGCTTACTGAGCGGAGGGAGCGGACAGGTTGATAAGGGGTTAGCAGGTCACAAAGGTAAAGGTTTCTTTTTCTAAACATTTACTCCAAGTCTTTGGAATTTGCATAGATACACACCTTGCAATCATAATTCCAGACACCCCTGTTGTCTTTGCTTTGTTGGCATCTTCAAATGACAGTATATCTCCATTTCCTGAGGAAAATTAAATATTTTGATGAGACACAACAGATCTATAATCTTTCAACCTAAATTTTCAAATCCCTTTATACTAGCAGCACATAGTGAGTACTGTAGTACAAATAGTTACCATTACCCTTAACTATCTAAATAATCACCTTAAACTATCTGGCAGAGAAAAATAGTTATGTCAGACAGATATAGCTCCCATATCAATACTGAGCTATGTTAAATGAGATACAACTTGCATTATGCGTCCTTCATGCAGGATAGCATCTCGGGAGCGCTGCAGAGATATGCTGTTCGAATGATCTTTTCTGCCATGCCCAACATATTTGATGAACAAAGTCAGAACATCCAAGATTAGAATGTTTTTTTGTTTGGGGTGAGGTGTCCTGTTGGAAAGATCTTTGGGAGGAAAATTAACTGTGAATTTTACAAGTCAGAAAGCTTTCTGTAAATCTACAAGTGAACAGTATAATTAGATGCAATTTGGTTCTCCACCCTCATCTGAGAACATGTTGATACTACAGAAAGTAAGAAACGTGTTAACTGGAACTATTAAAGTGCAGTTGAAATGCACAACATAGAGCAATGGTCAATTACTTAATATACAGCATCAAAGTCATACCCACCAAAAAGTGGCATTGGATTAGCCAGTCGAGCACAGTCATTAATGTAGTCCCAGTCTGACAATTTAGTATAACGTTGTTCCCGGGATCTGCCATGGAGCTACAACAACAATTTGCATTTATATAGCACCCTTCACATAGGCTAACATCACAGTGTTTCACAGTGGCAACTGAACACAGAGCAAGGGGGAAAGTAACCATAGGCACAATTGAAGAGGTAAGTTTTAAGACTGATTTAAAAAAAGCGAGAGAGGAGAGCAAGGGGCGAGAGGAAGGATGAGATTGAGAGATAGAAGTTGGGAGTTACAGAGGTTAGGTTGACTGAAGTGATTGCAGTGGCTGAAGGTTCAGCCAGCAATGGTGATGTGGAAGGAGGCTGTGAGTCATGAAGCAGGGATAGGTGGGGAGGCAGACCGGAGAGGAGCAAAAAGGATGGGTAATGGAGGAGAGAGAGGTCACTAGAAGACAGGGTACAGAAGAGGAAAATTGTGGAGGGTTAGTAGAAGGAAGCAGGAAGAGGATGACACAAAAGCAGAAAATGTAACACAACAACCAAAACAACAAGTTAGCTATGTCCTACAGGTTAGTTACTTTAAAATCGCAATTATGATTTTCATGTCTGTATGCCTTTGATTTCTTTATTTCAGAATTTCCAGTTGTTATATTTCAATAGGTTTACAGTATTTGGAAACTTAAAACAACTGTAGCACTTTCAAGCAGTAGTAGATTATCTAACTGGCCTGTCTACCCATTCAACATCCCCAAAAAGGGACTCTTTCATTTCCACAAACATATCTAGTTTCTTTTTTTTTAAACATTGTTTGGCTATCTATGCTGTTAAACTGTTCCAAAATGCCAACCACTAATTAACTAAAAATAAATTGCTGTACATCCTAGTGGCTGTTCCTGTGCTTACTTTGAAGCACTGAGCCCTTGTTTATAAAACTATTTGAAACTACTCTGTCCCCAGACCTGAAACTATTCAGTTGTACTTTGAATATGAGTGTATAGTTCGGTAATCTTATTGACCTGTCAGCCTGAGGTACAGTTTAACCAGCAATAGAACATGAATCAGATGTCAGGGTTCACTGAAATCATTTCACTATTTTGTTTCCACTAGAAACTCTGACAAGATCAGTCATGAAATAATTGCAGCAAACAATATGCTTTGAGATGTCTCAAATACATGATAAGGGACTATATCAAATGCAAGGATTATTATTAAATGTACTTACAGTAACTAGAGAAACCCCCCAATCCCTTAGATTGGGTATTAATTTGTGAGCAATGTTGACTTTTTCATGTACTCCAGTTCTTATTTTCACAGTGAGTGGAACATCCAGTACCTATAATAAGTCACGGACACACTTTGGGTTTCACACAAAGAAATGTGGATTTTTAAAAAAAAATTGTAGACTTTCTTCTCACCATCCTCCCTCCCACCCAACCCCAAATAAAAAATAGAAACTACTTACAGAGTTCATTCCTTTCACAATCTGCTCAAACTTGTTTAATCGATTCATTAATCCACAGCCACCTCCCTGTAAAGGGTTGCCATTATTAGATGAAAAGTTTGCAAATAAATCCATGTGCTCAACAAGCAAAGTTTGTATACATTTAACATAAGAAATGCTAGACCAAAAAAGACCAAGGTCCACCTAATTCGCCTTTCACCTTCCTAGCGGTCGCATGCACATATGTCCCAAAATACCTATGTACTATATCCCATAATGTTATTTCCTAAAAGAAAACTATCTAATCTGTGTTTGAAAGAATCAACATTTCCTGCTTCAACCGTCTTCCTAGGGAGCTTGTTCCACAGGTTCACTATTCGCTCACTGAAATAGTGTTTGCGTATTCATTCTGAATTTACCCCCTTGAATTGAAGGTTGTGTCCTCTGGTTTTACTATTCTGGACAATTTGAAACAATCTGTCATTATCTGTATTGTCTTGCCCCTTTGGAATCTTAAAGACAGCAATCATGTCAGGGTCCTACTTACTGCTAGGTAAACAGGTATGTGGAGTAAGGAAGCTTGCCCAATGTTTCGCCCTGGCCGGGAATCGAACCCTGGTCTCTCATGTGCTCTAACCACTAAGCTACAGGACTAATAGCTCCTATCTCATGTCCTTCTCCCTCTGTTACATGTTTTTCCATTGTTTTCCTCTATTGGTGATTAGTCAAAATATGTCTTAAAGCCATATTCTTCTATATGTTCTTCTACAGCAATGCACTGCTTTTGTAACAAACAGTTAAACATACACATTCAAATTTGTTGGTGGAAAACTTACCTTGTGATATACAAGATCTATTGGGCATCCCACATTAATATCAACAAAGTCCACATTTATAGTCTGGTTTAGAAGTTCTGCACATTTTGTCAAAGTGTCAGGAAAAGCACCCTCTAGCTGTAGGAAAGAAAACATTTTAGCACACTTCCTGCAAAAAGTTACATAGATTTACATTGACTGCACAGCACTGAAAGTGGCTATTTAGCCCAACCAGTCCATGCCAGAGTTTATACTCCACATGTCTACACCCACTCCGTCCCTTGCCCTTCTATTTTTCTCCCTCATGTGTAAAAGCAATTGATCACAATGGGTTGGGGTTGCTTCCTCACATTTTGCTGTTTGCTAACACGGGTGAAAAACCCTAAAGAAAACACATTTTGGTAGTTGTGGAATCCCCTTTTTATTTTATTAATCATAGATTTCTACTTCCCTTTGCTTTTTATTATTGATAAATGAAATCAGAAGTCTGATACAGTTCATAGAGGGTCAATATGTTACAATACTGGAATTTCTTATGAGTCACTGACATCATTTCCTGCGTGCAGAACGCACATGCAGAACACAGGAACTGATGTCAGTGGTGACCTCGCAACACAGAAAGCAGACATTTATAATGTGGGAAGCTGGATGGACCAGGCGTAGCTCGATCTTCCCATGTAACATAGGCCCACAGTGTACCTATGCTATAAGTGGGCCTGCAGTCAGACCATCTTTTTATGGAGTTGAATTATATTGAAAATTTAGTGCTGGAAATACATTCCTTTAAAATGACCATCTTCACGAAAATATAGAGAGACTACTCCAGGTGACTCATCCTCTAATTGGCCACACAGAAATGAACGCTAATGCTCTCACTGACACTTTAATAGAATGGTGAAGATAAGGACCGCATTGATGCGGGTACTGCCAGTCTAAACACATCATAGCACACCAGGGCACACATCCTTCAAGTAAAGAATAAGTAACTGCTGAATGCAACACAAACCTGAACTCCAAAGATATCTTCCGTATAATGACGTTTCAGGAGTGCCCACTCAGAAGACTGGCCTTGCAAAAGGTTTGTACACATTGCCATCTCACCACAAGTGATGTCAGCTCCAAACCTTTTACATATTCGACGGAAAGGTAGATTTCCACACTGGAAAGAAAGGAATTGGAAAAGGTTGGTGATATCAGATTTTTATTGTGAAGTGAGACAAACCAAAAAGACAGCACAATAGAGCATTTCTCCATTCCTTGGTATTTGTATATCTATCAAGACTTCTGGGGGTTAGAACTATAGAACCTCACAACTAAGATTTGGCCCATCATGTCTGTGTTGGCTCTTTTAAGAGCAATCCCTTCAATCCCATTTACCTGCACTTTCCCACAGACCTGCATCAAAGCCAACTTTGACTAGTTGGCGAAAAGCATTCAACAGCAACCAGACAGTAAACACACTCATCCTCCAAGGAAATGTGGCGACTTCATAACCTAGCTATTTGGCAAGGTACAGAGCAATCGTCAGGGATTGAAACTGCATCATCTCACTGAGTGCACTGAATATTAGTTCAGTCACCTTGATTCTCCATTGTAACCTGTCCTGGTCTCAATTTAAGATGAGTGATAATTGCCTACCAAAGGCATAGGTGTTCTGACCTCAAAGAATAATCTTTCATCCATTTTGGTGTAATTTCAGCAACTTGGAATGCACGAACTGAACTGCATACAATTTTACTTACTGTTGTGAGTGGTGCAAGATAAAGCTTATCCTTGAAGTTCAACTGGAAAAAGGAGGAAAAATATAATGTAAATATTCGAATGAAGACTGGATGTTCGCTAAATAAGAGTAGTTAGTTTCATTGTTAACCTCTAAATTCACAACAAGTGCAATCTTAACAGAGCTATCAGCTTGGAAGATATGTTAAGAGCAATAATTTCAGTGACTAGTATAGCTCCTTTTATAACCCATACAGATACTCTTGTGTTTTATATTAAAATCGAGAAGCTTCTGGAGAAAGCATAGGAGGCAAATTCTCTGTGTGTGGGTACACTCAGCGTGTTCGATGAGTGTTAAATCTTATGCTAAAAATAAACCATCATGAACAGTAAGATCATTAGTTAATGATTATAGCACCAAACCCTCACTAAATATATAGTAGCCCTGTACAATAGGTAAAAATATATGCAATTGCAAAGAGACTAAGAGTAAATATAAACTCATGAAATTATGTTAATACTTATTTTAAGTGTTTATAGGAATTTTTAATTTATATTTTCACATTCCTCTCCATCAATCTTTACATTTTCTTATTCTGAGTTATCCCTCCCCACTGCACTTCATGGAAATTGATACTTTAAGCCCCTTAATGTAGTTAATGTCTGGGCTCCAGTTGTGCAACCCAACTTTATGCTGGAAAATGTCAAGAGGTTACTGTGTTTTTTTAGTGACTGGAGAGGACCAACAATTTATTACCTCATGCCAGATTTTTTAATCCTATTTCTCCATGTTTTCTCCATCCTCTTGATGCTCTTACCACTTTCCAAGTATCCATTTATTTTCCCTTTTAAACATCTTTATTCTCTCTAGCTTTACCACAATATATTGGATTAAGATCATTAGGGATCACTATCAGGGTAAGCAAACCATGCCTATCCACAGTTTTTAATACAGTTATTGCTGCATTAGGATTACGAGGGGCAGAGGCACATGAGGTATCAACACCAGCTCAGATTGATTAGCCAAATGGCCTGTTTCCATGCTCAAGATTCTATGTAATTCTACGAATTTAGAGATTACCATTCTCACTTGGCGATTGTCATATAAAGTAAGATTAGCTGCATAAAGTCATCTTAGGGTGACCCAAGAAATTTAAACACTGATATTCCAAGTTATTTTCCTGCACTGGTATTAAAAGCAATAAAGGAGACTCACCGTTTTCTTCTCACAGGATCGAAGCTTGATGATGTCTTCATCCAGTACAGCACCCAACAATTTTGCAGAGGCCATTTGATCATTAACTTCTTGAACAGAATTCTCTTTACCCATTTCCATCCCTGGAGTAAGAACATTTTTGTTTGTTTCATCAATGGTCTGCTTTGCTTCAGACAGCAGACCATTATCCAGTTTGCTTTCCGTACAGCAAGGCATATCCTGTGGCTCTACAATTCTTATGCTGTTCGGTTCTGCAGAGGTTTGCTCTACTATGGCTGCACTTGAAATAGAAAGATCTGGACTTAATTCATCACCAAGCTTTGATGGGCTATCCGCTGCGTTCTTTCCTGCATTGCCCTTTTTGTCGCATTCATTACTTTGGTTCAACTGCTTCAAGTATCGATCGGAATTGTTAAAAGAGAACTTCTTTTTGCGGAGCACCTGTTGCAGTTGCTTGCTTAGACTATTCTGGACAATCACCTTTTCTTGCCATTTCTTCACCAGATCCTCATTAACCAGGCTCCGGTTATTTGCTCCAATGTGAGATTTTGCATAGCGACAGCTAATGCCATACTGACACTTTCCAAACATGTCATACAAGTAACATCGATCTCCAAGATCAGCGGGTTTGGTTTCCAGATACTTAGATACATCATGCAAAAATCTACATTTGTCACCATAGTAACATTTCTGTGCTGGTTCCTTAAGAAAGCAAATCATAAATTAGTCTTTGGTAGAAGTAAATTTAAAAGATTAATTATTTAACAGTGAATGTACAATATTACTCAAAATATATTTTACGGAATTATATGTCAACAAACTTTAAAACCATGATAATAACTAGCATTAATCATCAACTTTATTTTCTGTTCAGACATTAGATTTACTTGCTCAAATGTCTGTGGCAAAATTATAGCAGTCGACCTGAAACCTTGTCTTTCAAAGGCAATGACCACAAAACATAGCCCAAGGCAGTTTTACAATTAATATTTAATTGCTGGAGATGAGAGAAATGAAAGGAAGTGATAGAGGTGTTTAAAATTATGATAGGATTTGATAAGGTGGGTACTTATGGCTTGTTGACTATCCAAAACAAGGGGACATTAACATGTGTGAAAGGGAGTTTTGGAGGAACATCTCTACAGAAAGAGTGGCAAGAATAGATTACCAGGGAAGGTCATTGAAGCAATTTGCTGCATAAACAGGTACACGAGGCAACTTGATAAACTTTTGGAGATAGTAGAGGAAGGGGGAGAATAATAATGTATTCAGATAATGGAACCACTGCTAGCTTCTCAGACTCCTCATCACTCTACTACTGATTTTACATCAAGTTCTATGAAATCTTTTTGGTTGAAGGAACACACTATTGCAGACAAGTAGGCAAGACATGGCTTCACATTTGACATGTGTGCCAATGATCTACATAGTGCTTGCATCAAAGCAAACACCATAAAGCTAACTTTAAGATGTCCTAAAAGTGTCAATATCAACTGCTCCCCTGTACTGTGGAGTTTCTGGTCACAGGATTCATAAATATTCCTTTACCCCAGCTGTTTAAAATCCTGCAAATTACATTTAAAATAACATTAGACCTTTACACTGCTACATCATATTTATACTAACCCGACACACTGATGAACATAACTTTTGTGTTTGATACTGGTTGGGCTTCATGTGTGGCCTGTGTTTATTTTGGCCTCGAACTCTTCTTTTAGCTTCCTTCCTTTCCTCTTCTTTTGGACACATTTCTCCATTTTCTTTTTCATGCACATTTTTGTCTTGAACACTACTGCTTTCTTCATCCAGTTTAATCCTTTTCACTTTATGTTTTAGGAGCTCATCAGCTGCAGTATCTTCTACCACTTCTCCAGCTTCTGTATGACTGTCAGGGTTCTTTGGATCGTTGCCACTTTCAATATATTCATGGAAATGATCTTTATTAGTAAGATACCTGTAACACAAAGGTCTCTGAAATATTGTTCGCCCACAAAATAGTCACTACACTTTACAGTGTATCCTGTGAAGTACTTTAACATGTCCTCCCAACATGAAAGACACTATACCAAATGCAAGGATCATTAATATACTGTATTAAAACTGACCCACAATACAGTTGCAATGAGGTAACGACATACTGAGTTTCCTTATTTTGAAAATTTAAATATCGTAAGCTCAAATCTAAAATAATTTTGGAGAATGTATTTATAAAGATCTACTGTAAAACATCCATACAATATAAATTTATATTTAACAAGCACCTTTTACGTTGGAAGGTCATCCCATGGCTTGGCACCCAAGCAGGGAGTGTCAGCTGAGGGGAATGGGGAGAGAAAATATGACCAAAGGTATTGGCAAAGAGGTAGGTCTTGAAACAGACCTTAGAAAAGATCAGGGACAGAGCAAGTCAGAGGGGCTCCAGGATGGAGTATCAGGGAGTGGGGGCAGATAGTGCTACAATGATGTGCCACCTCTCACGTCAGGAAGATGTCTCAAAGCACTCAAAGCACAGGAGGATGTCTCAAAGCACTTTGTTTTGTAAAATTATTTTTTATAAAACTATTGTTTTGTAAAACACATATTAAAACGCTACTGAAATTATGTTCAATGGAAAGAGGCGACTGAAAGCGTATATCCTAGCTGTTTCAAATCCTGCAATTTACATTTAAAATAACATTATTAGATTTTCTAATATGCCACACCATATTTATACTAAACCGGCAAACTGATGAACATAACGTTTGTGTTGGGTGATTTATTTCAATACTAAATGTCTATCAGACGTAATAATTAAAGCCCCTATCAAAGCAACCTCCTTGTGAAGTGACTTACTGAGGCTTGATGAGTGCCACTCCCAAGTTGGTCCCACGATTTGTACTGGCGGAGTTGCTGACATCTCCTCCTTCAGCCATATCAAGAACAGTTATACTTTGTAAGCCTCTAGGAAACAAAACAAAATGGGCATTGGCAGCAGCATTACACTCAGAGCAAGAGTTTATTCACTATAAACATATAGGTGGACAAATCCGCCGAAACACTACTGCCGTGAGCGAGTGGTAAACGTACGGAACAGGAACAGGCTCACCGGGGAGACGGTGGGAACAGGAGATGTTTGTTTTGGGAACAATTTGGATGGATTTCTGCTGGAAAGTAACCTCAGGACACAGCATGTAGTTCGGGGCACGACATGTCAAGTGACTGGCAGGAGGGTGGAAGGCGAACTGGATGGATGTTGGGGCTCTTTCGCGGAGCAAGTTCTCGTGTTGTTATTAACCGCCTCTCCCTCCCCTCCCAACACAGACACTGTCTGCCAACACTCAGCGGCCAAACACCGCAGTAATGGTGGTGAACCCGCAGGAGAGGAAGGGCGGGTGCAAAGGTTACCTGTGGGCATCAGCAACACCAGCACAGTGTGTGCCAAGTGATTAACAGGAGGACGTTCACAGCCAAAGAAGAATCAACCGCTCTCCGCCTCCGCCTCTCCTCCTCCCACCCCGGGCCGCTGCCGGGGGACCGACACGTGCAACACACACACACACACACACCGGGAGTGCAGCGCGCAAACTGCTCCCTCTGCAGCCCTGAGCACCACCAGCGGGTCCGCGGGACACAGCCCCCACCCGCGGAGAGGGGCTGCGGCACACAAGTGGCTCCTCTGCTGATGGTGGGGGGGGGGAGTGGGGGATTAAAGCTGCAGCTGCTTTTCTCGTGGGTTTAAAATGAGTTGTTTTTTTGTTTGTTTGTTGCGTTTTTCAGGGAGAGCAGTGTCTCTCACGTCTGCAAAGGAGAGCAGTGTCTCTCACGTCTGCAAAGGAGAGCAGTGCCTCTCACGTCTGCAACTGGCAAAAAAAACACACACTCTGGTGGGTGCCGCAGCTGTCAACATCTGGGAAGCGTCTGCAATGACTTCGGGGCTGAGCTGCAGGCGCACCACTTCAGGCAGACAACCATTTCCTTTTCGAAACAGCAGCAATGCCCTTCGAACTGCTGGCTTTGTAGAATTGTACCGCAGCAAAACCCAACTGGATTACATTTGAAACCACAAGCATGCAAAACAAAATGCCAGTCACGCGAGCTTTGCGAATTTGCTCGAAATTATTCTCTTTGACGTTTTTTTTTAACATATCACTGCACATATTTGTGACACCTAAGATAAATGCTCTAGTTTGATGAAACAGTAGAATAGTTTTGGGGTCAACACGACATGCATCTTAATCCTCAGTCCCACCTTTCACAAACTGCGGACTATACAGATTCTCCACAGCCAGTATCCCTCTCCTGCACCAAGCTCTGTCAGCCTATCACCTAACTGTCTCCCTTATCCCTCAATAGATTATATTAATATTCTTGTTCTCATTTTCAAAGACACCCAAGACCTTCCACTACCCTATCTCTGCAATCTCCTGCAACACTAATCCCACAACCATTCCTCTGCTCCACAAATCCCAGCCTCCTTCATTTGCCTCCAACCCAACCATCAGCAAATCACCTTACCTACACCCCAATCCCTGCATCTCACTATTCTCTTTCTGCTCTCAACAACCTTTGAGAAAGCAGGAAATTGGAATTGAAAGGATTAGTTGAGGTACAGATCAGCAATGATCTAGTTAAATGGTGGAACAGGCTCAAAGGGCTGAATGAACTCCTCCTCCTACGTTCCTATGTACTGGAAGCCTTGCTTCAAAATCTTCATACAGTACTATTAATTTTATTACAACCACTACGACTTACAGTATTAAGCCTTTGTCCTTGATAATGTATTGGTATTGGATTGTAATAGTGTACTACGGCTGCACTGAAATAACTCACCAAACATGCTTTGACTATCTTCCTTGGAGGTTTCGTTGGAACTGAGCTGGCTCCAAGGTGATATGTTTGGCAACGAAATGTTGAAATAAAGTCAATCCTCTGTAGTGGTCTTGGAAGTCCAGTTCCTGAACCAGATAGGTCTGCAGTCCTCCGTGGCACTGCTGATGACAGACCCGCCAGCTTGGCCCATTGACCAGACATGGAGGAGCGGGCAGGAGTTGAGTGGGAAGACGGGTGAGGGTCTCTTCCCACTCAACTCCTGTTAATCCTGCAAGCCAAATCCCTAAGCCACTCAACATTGCTGTCCACAAATTACAATATACCCTGTGAAGCGCTTTGAGACATCTTCCCGATGTTCAAATGTAGAAATCATTAAATAAAATTGGTCAATTACTTAATGGCTCTTTGTGGGACTTTGCTGTGGACAAATTAAGTGCTACATTTGCCTCCAAATACACAGTTCCTACAGCCATTACACTTCACAGTAAAATCCTGTGAAGTGCTACAAAATGTTTCTGAGACATTTCTAGGCTGTGAGTTGAGGTCAAAGTCCAAAAATGGAGCAACAACAGTGGTGGGATCACAATTGGTTCAGTGCCCTATGAGGGAGTGGTAGGAAGAGGGGAGGGAAATCATCCACTATTCCTCCTAATGATTATTGCGTGACTCATATCCATTCCCATCCCCTCTCCCTCCCCAACAGAAGATAAATGTGTATGGGTATCAAATAATAATAATAATCCTTGCATTTGATGCAGCGCTTTTTCATGTCTTCTAGACATCTCATTAATATTCTTGTCCTCATTTTCAAAGATTCCCAAGATCTTCCATTACCCTATCTCTGCAATTTTTTTTTAAGGATTATTATCAAGCTTGTGGAGTAAGGAAACTTTGCCCAAGGTTTCACCCTGCCTGGAATCGAACCCAGGTCTCTCGCTTGTGAGGCGAGTTCTAATCACTGAGCTACAGGAATCCTAAAATTAGGACAGGATGAGGAGAGGATCAGGCGTTGCTGAAGCACTTCTATGGTCAAACAGTTAGGTAGGGTGTACGCACAAAGAATATTTGGGCTGCTGACAACTATGTAAGTACCCGCATGAGGGTCACCGCTTTCATCATAGAAAAATTGTGGGAATTTTTTTTTCACTCAAGAGAATTGTTAGGAAGTGGAATGTCTTGCAAAGTAAGGAGGTAGAGGCAAAGTCATTGTGGGTTTCAATAAGGAAGTAGATGGGTATCTGTAAGTTAGATAGAGAATAGGACAGTGGGGTTCAAAGTGCATCTGTGGTAATGGATGGGCAGAATGGCCTCCTTCTGTGCTGTAAATGTCTATGATCCTCCCATAGCTGTTAATGAGACTTTGTCATAATCAAATTGGCCGCCACGTTTGCCCACAATATATATACATAGTTACACTCCACTTTGCCGTAAATCATATCGAGCGCTTTGAGACGTCTCGGTGATGTGATAAGCTCGGGTGACCATGTCTCCAATTTCCAGGGATTGTTATAGGACTACTGTCCTGTAGCTCAGTGGTTAGAGCGCTCGCCTTGCAAGCAAGAGACCCGGGTTCATATTCCGGCATTGGCAAAACGTTCGGCGAATTTCCTCACTCCACGTGCCTCTGTTTAGAACCCGGGTGTTTAGTCGATTGGCGGATCACTTTTCCGTAATAGGTAGGTAATAATTTCTTCAAAAAAATAAATTTGAAAAAATAATAAATTGGTCACTTCAATCCACGACTGTTTGTGACACACTGCTGCGCACAATTGGCTGCCGTGTTTGGCCACAAAATATAGTCACTACACTTTCCAGTGTATTCTGAGAAGGGCTTTGAGACGTCTGGAAGATGTGATGAGGCGCCTTATCAAATGCAAAGGCTCATTGTTATTATTGCTGTGTGTACCCGGTGTCAGGGCTATCGCCCGAGGCCTCGGTTGGCAGGAGGTTACCCGGCAATTCGTGAGGCCCGCGGGCCCTCCCCGCGCAGGCGCAGTGTGCGGCGTCTGCCCGCCCAGCTCCCCGCGCAGGCGCAGTGTGCGGCGTCTGCCCGCCCAGCTCCCCGCGCAGGCGCAGTGAGCGGCGACTGCCCGCCAGCTCCCCGCGCAATGCCCGCCCAGCTCCCCGCGCAGGCGCAGTGGGCGGCGACTGCCCGCCCAGCTCCCCGCGCAGGCGTGGTGCGTGTCGGTTGAGTTTGTTTTCTCTTGAAACCGAGGCAGAAAGTTAGCGAAGCTCAGCCCCGCCCCCACCGGAGAGACAACAGAGCGGCCATGGCGGCCGTCCGCCCCAGTCTGTGGCTCTTTGTTTTGGGTTGTTTGGTGTTGAACGGCTCCATTGCTGACAAGAGAGGTGAGAGCGCGGCCCGCGGGCGGGGACATGTGAAGCTGGGAACCATCTAACCCCCACCCCGCCACTGCCGTGCAGCTGCTGGTGTTGCCGGCGCTGGTGGTGTTTCTGGTGTTGGTGGTGATGGAGCTGGTGGTGTTGGTGTTGGTGGTGTTGGTGGTGATGGAGCTGGTGGTGTTGGTGTTGGTGGTGTTGGTGTTGGTGGTATTGGTGTTGGTGGTGATAGAGCTGGTGGTGTTGGTGGTGATGGAGCTGGTGGTGATGGAGCTGGTGGCATTGGTGTTGGTGGTGATGGAGCTGGTGGTATTAGTGTTGGTGGTGATAGAGCTGGTGGTGTTGGTGGTGATGGAGCTGGTGGTGATGGAGCTGGTGGCATTGGTGTTGGTGGTGATGGAGCTGGTGGTGATGGAGCTGGTGGTATTGGTGTTGGTGGTGATGGAGCTGGTGGTGTTGGTGGTGATGGAGCTGGTGGTGTTGGTGTTGGTGGTGATGGAGCTGGTGGTGATGGAGCTGGTGGTATTGGTGTTGGTGGTGATGGAACTGGTGGTGTTGGTGGTGATGGAGCTGGTGGTGTTGGTGGTGATGGTGTTGGTGGTGATGAAGCTGGTGGTGTTGGTGGTGATGAAGCTGGTGGTGTTGGTGGTGATGGAGCTGGTGGTGTTGGTGGTGATGGAGCTGGTGGTGTTGGTAGTGATGGAGCTGGTGGTGTTGGTGGTGATGGAGCTGATGGTGTTGGTGGTGATGGAGCTGGTGGTGTTGGTGGTGATGGTGTTGGTGGTGATGGAGCTGGTGGTGTTGGTGGTGATGGAGCTGGTGGTGTTGGTGTTGGTGGTGATGGAGCTGGTGGTGTTGGTGGTGATGGAGCTGGTGGTGATGGAGCTGGTGGTATTGGTGTTTCTGGTGTTGGTGGTGATGGAGCTGGTAGTATTGGTGGTGATGGAGTTGGTGGTGATGGAGGTGATGGAGTTGGTGTTGGTGGAGCTGGTGGTATTGGTGTTGGTGGTGATGGAGCTGGTGGTATTGGTGTTTCTGGTGTTGGTGGTGATGGAGCTGGTAGTATTGGTGGTGATGGAGTTGGTGGTGATGGAGGTGATGGAGTTGGTGTTGGTGGAGCTGGTGGTATTGGTGTTGGTGGTGATGGAGCTGGTGGTATTGGTGTTGGTGGTGATGGAGCTGGTGGTATTGGTGTTGGTGCTGTTGGTGGTGATGGAGCTGGTGGTGTTGGTGTTTCTGGTGGTGGTGGTGGAGCTGGTGGTATTTGTGTTGTTGGTGATGATGGAGCTGGTGGTATTGGTGTTTCTGTTGGTGGTGGTGGTGATGGAGCTGGTGGTATTGGTGTTTCTGTTGGTGGTGGCGTTGATGGAGCTGGTGGTATTGGTGTTGGTGGTGATGGAGCTGGTGGTATTGGTGTTTCTAGGGTTGGTGGTGGTGATAGAGCTGGTGGTATTGGTGTTTCTGTTGGTGGTGGTGGTATTGGTGTTTCTGTTGGTGGTGGTGGTGATGGAGCTGGTGGTATTGGTGTTTCTGGTGTTGGTGGTGATGGAGCTGGTGGTATTGGTGTTTCTGGTGTTGGTGGTGATGGAGCTGGTGGTATTGGTGTTTCTGGTGGTGCTGGTGGTGGTGGTGATGGACCTGCTGGTATTGGTGTTTCTGGTGTTTCTCCTTAGCCACCTTCAAGTCCCGCCTCAAGACCCTCCTCTTCGACCATGCCATCGGCCATTCCCCTCCCCTCTCCCCCCCTGACCCCAGCTCGGTTCTGAAATGCTGTACACTGTCCAACGCCTTGGGTCGTCCTCCCGACGTGAAAGGTGCTATACAAATGTAATGTTGTTGTTGGTGGTGGTGGTGATGGAGCTGGTGGTCATGGACAGTGATGCTGTTAGTGCTTGAGGTGAGGAGCCATTTATAGCATCACCATCCAGCGATGTACTCTCCACCTCACTGACCGAGTCTGGAACCTTGGCGTCTTGAATTTATATAGCATAGTAGTAACAGGATAGCGTCTCGGAGATGTTAACAAGCTCAGCTTAACACTGAGCCAGGGAGAGGGTAGGTGACTAGGAATGGCCAATACGGAAGTGACGTGGCATGACTTGTGAAGAAATGCGCATAGACTTAAAGAATTGTTTTCCCAAACAGCGGCTATCTAAATAACTGCGATGGATGGAGGTTGAAGCCTAAATATACTAAAGCATAGGCTATTGAGGTTAGCCATTTAGACCATTTAATAGTAATCATTGCATTTGATATAGCGCTTTTCACGTCTTCTAGACGTCTCAAAGCGCTTCACAGAATATACTGTAAAGTGAATTGACTGTATTTTTTGTGGGTGAAATGCGGCAGCCAATTGTGCACAGCAGTGTTCCATAAACAGTCGTGGATTGAAGTGAACAATTTATTATTTTTTTCTTGAGGGATTATTATCAGGCGTGTGGAGTAAGGAAACTTGCCCAAGATTTCTGTGGCATAAGATGCCTCGAGGTACCTGAAAGTATTGTATCTTGCCAGGGTGACCTTAAAAGTATAGTTTCTTTTTCACTATGGGTAGGCCAATACTTTGTTGCTGGATGCCTCTTAGCTGAATAGCTAAACAGTGGGTTATGGGGCAGGAACGGTTCATTATATTCACAGAATTTATTATGTCATCTCTATGTAAACACGATGGTGGGGCAGTATAATCCAAAGGTCAAGTCATAGCGCTATCAATTGAGTCTACTGTTGGAGGAAATATTTACCCAGTGTAAGGGAGGAAAATTTCTGTTCATGTCAATTTCACCACATGTCTGTGACAAAGTGAATTTATCAGAAACAGCACAACACAAAACAACTAAGGATGTTGAATTGTTTTCATTTGTGTCTAATTTTCTGCTTGCAGATCTCATTGTGTCTAGATATTGTTAATAAGGGCTTGCAAATACTTCGCTGACTCAAGAATTGACCTTGACTGTAAAAATTCGAGCAGGGATGTAGAAGCCTTTTTAGCTTGTTGCTTCCTTTCTGATGATGTACATCTTGAGATGGTTTAGCAGCAGTGCTGCAAGGTCAATATAAAGCAGATTTGATGGGCTGTGTGCCCGGTTTCTGTGCTGTAATATTCTGTGAAATAGTGTTGCTTTGTAAAGGGTCTTGCTACATCTGGCCCCGATGTTCTCGACTCTGAATAATGGATGAATAGTAACAGTTTCTAACAGTAGTCTGTTAATATCTTTCACCTTGATGAACAGGAAGTTTGTACAACAAAAATCAGAAGCACATTGAATACTGCACCTTGAACAAGTTGATACTTTTAAAAAGAAGATTTTTAAAAAAATTGTGGAAATTGAAGGATCTGTACCAGTAATTCAACACATATCAAAAGGCACATTGAACAGTCTTTGCGAGATATCATTAAATTAAAAACTTAAGAATTAATTACAAATGCGAAAGGAGCTTTGAAATGCAAATCTTCCTGTCTGGTATCAATGGTGGCTTTAGGCCAGTTGGAGAAGTTTCATTTTTAAAAGTTATCTGAATAGAAAACATCTGTGTTAATGTGCTGGATAAGAAGTTTGTTTAAATGAGTAATTGGAATATTTAAAAATGGAGTGTTTTTGTGTTGATATTAAACAAGCATATCATAGAGAACTGAAAAGTTGGCAGTATCCTTCTTTGTACCTAACTGCCCTGAATGAAATGTGAATATTAATATGTATTTTGAATAACATAAGTTTTTTTTGTAGATCCAGAATGTTCACATTTTACAAATACATCTTGTGAGCGGTGCTTGGAAAATGTCAGTGTAAGTACCGTCATTTATTTTGACTTTTGGAGATACTAAGAATTCAGGACTCAAGTTGTGAAGTGCCTTTTTATAGAAAAAGCTTTCATTTGCTTAGCTATGTACACCTAAATGACCATATTTCTCTTTACACTAATCACAGTTCACAGTTATTGAAATTTGTTTGCTGTGATGAAGTTTTATATCTTATGATGCACAAATATTTTCTTCTAATTCTAAATTACATTTTTTGGTATTAATTGACATCGTACTTTACTACACATTTTTTGTTTTAAAATACTTTATATAAGTTCACTTTTGATGTTGCTGTATTTTAACTCAAACTTATTTTTTCACTCGGCAACGGGGGGGTGATCTGCCAACATTGGTCACTCAGTGATATCATTGGTTGGATTAAAACAACAATTTGCATTTATATAGCGTACTTCATGCAGGATAGTGTCTCAGAATGCTATAAAACAGTTTGTACAAAAATGTCTAGCCGTTTATTTACATGTATATCAGGGATAGGATGGTGTCCAGTGATGTCTAGGAAAGAAGACAGAGGAAATATGCAAATTTTTAGGATTTATAAATTTCCAAGATGTCTGCATCCACAGAAGACTAATGTCTTCATTCAATCCACAACTACTCGTGGAACATTACTGTGGTCAATTGTCTCTGGTGTTTTGCCCACAAAATATACAGTCAATTCACTTTACAGTCTTTGAGATGTCTAGAAATGGTATATGGAATGCAAGGATTATTATTATTATGTTGCTAATGCAAATTGCAATCTGTAGTGAATTAGCTGATCTCAGCTCAGTAGGACTACTAGAAATATTACCCCATCCCTCTTACCAGAGCTGGAAAGGAATATGAAAAACACTTTCTATCCTCTGCTGGAAAATACAGTATTTATGATTGGATGTTCAGGGAGGACAGGATTGAGTTTTGCTCTCATGACCTCTGCATTCAATTAGCTTGTTGATACTCACAGTCTGTGCTCACTTATAAATTTGGAGGTGCCATGTGTTCTTTCAACAGTATCTTAGTACCTTGGTATAAGAACCTTAAAACGTTTTACTGCTCAATCAGTGGTGCCAAATTAGTGTGATTAATGCAAATCTGAGTTTGCAGTGATTGGGGAATTTTGTTGAGGTTACTTAAACTTCCATTTTCAATCAGAACTCAGCAATAATGTCACTAATTTTTGATGTTTCTAATGCTGGCTTCCCCTGGCTGACAGTGTGTAAACGCTGACCCGAAACAAGTCTTGCAATGTCCTAGGTTTTGTAGCAAATCATGCTGTATTTTTTTTAAAAAACTTTGAAAACACAGTACATTTTTCTTTCTTTGTAAGTGATTTGAGGTAGCTATCAAAGTGATCCAGATTTGATTAATGGATCCAACCCACACTGGCTTTACTTGTTAAAAAGTTTAGTTTGTTGGGTGATTAATTTGAGTCTTTTCATATATTTCTAGTTTTAATGACCTTATTCATATTTTGTCTTTCAGTGTCTCTGGTGTTTTTCTGACGAGAGCTGTGTGAAATATCCTGTTGGGAACATAATTCCTCCAAGTTCAGTATGTCCCTTACGCGAAGCTCGCTGGGGAGTCTGCTGGAGTAAGAATATTTTTTGTTCTTGTCATTTTCTTTCTTAATCTTTAATCTAAAGGATTATTATTATTATAATAGAGCATTGACTCGATTCCGACATTCCATTGCTAAGCATGTCACCTTGGAGCCAGCTCAGCTTTGAGGAGACACCGCTTACTCCTTTTCTCTCACCCCCAGATGGGAATAATCAGTTGGTCATTTGACATCTGAAGCTATTTACAAAGAACAGGTTTGAGCCCTCATTCGGTGGATACCAGGTAGCAGGAACTCTAGTGAGCTTCCTGGGTAAGCGGCACACCTCAGCATAAAATATGCGAGAGCATTGTCACCATCTTCCTAACCACAGCTCGGACATGTAGCCTACCCATTGAATGTTGTTCCACCAGTTGGAAGTGCAGAGCTTGAGCAGCAGCTGCTTACCTCTCTGCATACCAATGTGGATATCAAACCTTGGATACTTGAGCATGTGTTCATCAATCTGGACTCAAGTGAATGCCATCCAGCAGCTGTCATCCCAAACCTTTGAGTTTCCTCATCAGCTATTCTATGGACATTTGCCATCTTCTGGGAAGATGTATGTAGAGCAGCTTGTGATGTGCCAGGCACATTGAGGTTCCAGAGATCATATTGTTGTTGTTTAATCTGGGTCCTCATGAGGGACTTTTGGCAAATAGATGTACCTGCTGTGAAGCTGACTCTTGACTCCTCCTCAGCAGCAAGTCAGTGTACATCGGAGCCTTACCTTTTCTGAAACTGCTTCATCTTTTTACCACAAATCCACCTAATTGCTTGTTCCTGGACTTCACAATTGGGCCCATCTGTTGCATGCCCAGGAACTTGGGATCATGAAGGAGACCTTTGGGTGGCATTTTATATTGCCACAAAGAGGTCATGTCATAATAGGTGTGATTTTCGAAGAGCTGAGATTCCAATTACCTGAGTCGTATTATCTTATCTGGTTTTAGACTTGACCTTTTTAAAAATAGCTGTTGCGTAAAGTGACTGGATCTCAGACTTTATTCTTTAAAACTGCTCAGATTATAACTATATACCACATTTCACCAAAACACATGATTCATTGTAGAACAAGAATTTGAGACAAGATCTTGAATGAAGTACTGGACCACCTATCATAGATCATTCCATTGGCTTCTACAAAAAGCAACCTTAAGTTATTAAATTGTGTATTGCTTTTACAAATTTATGTTTATGCTGAATGAAACGTATTGAAATGTTTCATTTGGAATTATTTTTTTTTAAAAATGTGCTTTCTGTAGTGATTGTCATATTACAGTTATTCTTGGACATATGACAATCACATAGTGAGACTAAGTTCAATCTTAGACTAGAATAAGAAATGCAACCTAATGACATAAACAAGGCACCGGAGGATGGAAAAAGTTGTCTTGCTCTTATTTAACCCAACGGCTGTTAAATAAACTACATTACCTAATAATGATTCAACTAATTCAATAGTACAACATGGATACATTTGTTTCCTGCAAGTTCTGTCAAATGCACCAGGTGGCATCACTGCACCACACAAAGCTTAACCTTCCATCAGGATTGCCTCATTAGACTTGGTTTGCTGTTTTTATAATAATAATACTTGCATTTGTTATAGTGCCTTATTACATCTTTGAGATGTCTCCAAGTACTTCGCAGAATATACTGTAAAGTGAATTGACTATATTTTATGGGCTAAACGCAGCATCCATTGCACACAGCGGTGTCCCACAAACATCTGTGGATTGAGTCACCAAATTATTTGTTTTAAGGGATTATTATCCTTAACACCTCTCAACACCTCAACTTCTCTAGTTCAACAGGAAGAGTTCTAAACTCTCTATCCAATCCTCTTACCATATCCTTTCATCACCAGTGTCATCCTCATGAGCCCACACTGCACCGTCTCTACAGCCCTAATATAATTTCTGTAATATGGCGCACAAAAGTACACTATTTTAGCTGTCACTTAACTGATGTCTAGAATTGAATAATCATCACTTTATTTTGTATTCACTGGATCTGTGTGTAAAACTCAGAATCCTGTTTGCCTTCTTAACATCCTTCTTTACCTGCTATCCCACTTTTAATGGATCCCATTGTTATTCTACTCCACTGAGAGTTCTACCCACCCAGAGTAAAATTCTGCTCCCCATTCCTTCTGCCAAAATGCATTATTTCACATGTTTCTACATTGAACTCTATTTTCCATCAATTTGCCCACTCCACTAATCTGTCAGTATCGTCCTATATCTTTCTGCACTCTTCGTCTCTGTTTAATTTTAATATTTATTGCAAATTTGGATATGATTCCCTCAACTCCTGGATCCAGATGATTGATATGCAGTTGAAACTCATTATAGCATGGTGGATGAGGGTCCATAAAATCCCCACCACTATTATAATAATGGAGCAATTGTCGGTCAGCACTTCTGTATTTACTGTGCATTCATGCATAAAAGCATTTCCTTTATCCATATTTTAGGTTGTCTTTTCAAATCATTAAATCAAATTAGATGTGATCTTCCCTTTACAATACTATGCTGGTTTTAATATTAATATTAATTCCATCTTTTCTGAATGTTCCACAACAACATCCCTTATCATGACCACAAGCAGCTTCCCTAAAACGAACATGAGACTCACTGGCCTATAGTTCTCTGGCTTTTCTTCCCTTTCCTAAACAATGGAGTAATGTTTACCACTTTCCCGTCCTTTGGGTAATCCCTGTATCTACAGACGTCTGGGAAATGATGGTCAGGGTTTGTCTTATTTCAACTCTTTCCCTCAATTCTCCGCCTTGCTCCCTCCCCACTTTCAAATCCTGCCTAAAGACCTTCGTTTTTGATTGCGTTTACGGTCACCTCCTGCCTCCCTCTCCCCCATTGTCAAGCACTCCAGAACGCTAACCCACGTGAAGGACCCTATATAAATGCTTTTTGGTCTTGTTATTGAGTTCTCTCAGTTATTCTTGGACACATCCCATTGAGACCTGGAAATTTACTTTAACCTTTTTCTCCTTTTTACCTATCTTTTTCACTTTATTCCTTTTCAAATTTCTACATTGCTAATACCCTGGTTTTGTGTAAACACTGAATATTTATTAAACATCCCTGCTAATAGTTAATGCTCAAGTACCACATTATCTTCCTTATCTTGTTGTGGCTTTGCTTTTCCTTGACTATCCTCATACCATTAATGTACTTATAAAAGTATATAGTATTATTTTTAATATTCCCAGCCAGGCTTTTTTTGTAATGTCTCCTAGCCCTTCTGTTTTTTTAAAAAAACGTTGCTCCTATAATGACACCCATCCAAGTTATTGCTTCTTTACTGTTCCTAATTTCCATCCAGCGAGTCTGATTTCACATTCTCCTCTACAATATCCCTCCCTTCTATAATTTCTGTAGAATCTCTTAGAAGTAAAGCGTCTTCTCCCCCCCACCGAAGTTTCTAAATCCAGATAGTTCACTGTGTTGCCTCAGGTGCAGCCAGGTCTCTGCTAGGGCAATGAAGTCTGGCACCTCTGCAGTTATCAGTGCCAAAAATTATCCACTTTCCTTTTTGATAATCTGGGTAATGATATATAAATACATATTCTGTTTTTTTCTACGCTATTTCCTTTCTTCGTCCTCCCTTTATCTTTTTCACACATTTTCCTCTTTTGAGTCTTTTTTTTAATCCCTTTTTCTCTTTGTTTTATTTGATGCTGTGCTTTGCTCACCTTGATTTCCCCTTCCTCATATTGCCCTATTTGCCCTGTGTACACTTTTGTCCTGGGTAATAATGTTTACATCGAGTAATCTAATAGAACACAGAGTAGAGTTGCTGAAGCAGAATAAGGAAATGAAACCATTCAATGTGAATCCTTTCCACAGACATAAATTGTGGTTTAGTATACCAGAAATGCTTTTGTAATTATCGAATAAGCCAAATAACACCATGCGTCAGAGACCAAAATAAGTAACTAAGTGAGACAATAACAGTGAAGGGTATTCTTAAAATGTGAATAACAATGAGAGAATCTGTTGGATGATTGAATATATTTTATTGAGGAGCTTGTAAAGAGAGATAACCAGCTTTTAGTATGCACTCATGTCTTGACTTGAGATATAGAATTTTTAAAAAATAAAACTGCTTTTGCACCATTAATAGTAGCATTGAATTTCTGGAGTTACCATGCTTAACAAGCCTTTTGACCAATTACTAAAAATATCGAGCTTTAATGGCATTTTCTTCTACTCTAAATTGAAGTTTTGAGCATTTTCATTATAATAATTTCGGAAGTTAGATTGCACATCTCTCAGGTGTTGGGAATACTGAAACACCTTCACCATTTCTATCTCCAGAGGATAGGGTAGTTTGCTGAAAGGCTTGCAGCATTTGAATTTGTATGCAAAAGTGATTTTTTTTTGTTTAATTTAACTATCTGGGCCTTTCATTGTCGTGAAGTGCCAAACAGAGGCCAGATGTTTCCCAGCAGGAATTGAGCAGGATACTGCCCCTGATCCCTCGTATACTTGCTAGCAGCTGGTTTGGAGCAATATTGGCCGAGGCTTCAGAGCAAACTGACTGCGTGCTGCCTCGGTTGTGAATGATTGACTGGGCATCGCCTTAGTTTTGAATGATTGACTGCCTGCTGGCTGAATTGTGAATGATTGACTGCGTGCTGCCTGAGTTCTGAATGGTGTTTGACACGGAGAAGACGGAGAGAGAGTGGCATGTTTAAAAGAAAAAGTTGCCATTTATTGAAACAAAATCTATTTTTAAAATTCCATTTGATTGGAGGAATACTTTTTAAGGGAAAAAGGAACATTTCTCAAAATCTTTCATCTTGGTTCGATTTACTTAAACTAAAATGGCAGATACTGAAATATCCTCCTCTTTGTCTTTTCACTCCACCCAACCTTCTATAACTGTTCGCCCGAGTGCAGCTACAATAATGAATATTATTAATAATAGTAATTTTGTGTGAGGCGATGGGGGCTAAGGATCAGGTTGCGGACACCCTCAAGTGTCCCACAAAGAGCCATCCAGTAAATGGCGAATTTTATCTCGTCTTTAGGTGTTCTTAAAAGTACTAAACATAAGTGCTCTGAAGAAATGTGATCGGAAAACTATTTTAATGATTTTACTGGATTACATTCATCTTTAAATTAATTCTGTTCATCTCTCTTCCCACACAGTGAACTTTGAATCCTTGATTATTGCCATGTCTGTAGTTGGAGGACTCATACTGCTGCCCTTGATATGTTGCTGCTGCTACTGTTGCTGCAAGAAGAAATTCCGCGGGTAATTGTCTTTTGGAACCATTCTGGCCATTTGCTGTGATGCGGTCTGAATCAAAAAAAATGTGCCCGTCTTATTTATGATAAGCAACATTTCTGGAGAATATTCTTCTCCTCCCTTTCTCCCAGTGAATGTAGCATATTGAAGAGATTTAACTAAATATTTAATCAATGAAATAGATTTCTCAGGCCAAACAGCTTTCAGCGAGCCATTGGTTGACATAAGATCTATGAACCAGACTTTGCTAATTTGCTGCAGTTAGACCATAGTATGTGAAACTGATGATGACCTATTTTTCATAATCGGATTATATCCACATCGTGCAACACCTTTCTCTCCTCTATGCACCGGTTTTATGCCGCAGGCCTCCTGTTGTAAAATTAAATGGAGTTTATAAGCCTGCTAAATGGTCAATTAAAGTGCTGTGGTTATTTTTGTAAATTATTAACTGATTGTATCAGACTTGCCAAAAGCAGACTGATCCAATTTTGTTCTGTTTGAAGCATTTGTCACAAATCTAAAGATTATGTGTATTATTGGCATCATTTAGATAGGCAACTATTTGAGCAAATTTCAAACTTTTTTGGGGGGAGGTGGGGCTTGATCCTGTCAGTTTTGTTCTTGGAACTGTATGAAAATTTAAATGTATATAGCTGAGATGATAGAGCTGATACTTAAGTGCACTTACTGAGTTGATAGGATGATCGTTTGTGCAATAAATAGAATTGAAAATGCTTCATCCTGTAAATGCAGTAAAATTTGAATAGATTATTTTAAAATCATCAAACATTGTAAATCTGAAATCCAGAGAGAAGTTAACAGTTTGAGGCTGACCTTGCATCAGAATCTCTTCAATCTGCTTAATAAACCACTATAAGGATATTAAGATTGGAGAGGATAAATCAAGTGCACAAATAACTTATTGCCTGATAAATAATGAGAAACACAACTGGGAACTGAGAAAATGTTCTCTGCTTTACCGTTCATAGTTCTAACCAGGATGAAGAGCGATGGGCCAAGCAGCAAGAGGATAGAAAGCGTCGCAACGAGGAACGGTAAGTGAGCGTCTAACACACCATCTTGTGAGAAATTATATGAATTATTTCTAGCCAGGAAATGGACTGTCATGAAATATACAGCTTTTAATTTCTTTCTAGAATAATTCCATTCCCCAGGTATCTATTGCAGAACTAAGACCATTCAACTTTAGATAAGCACTGTCAATGATGAGATGCAATCAGGGAGCAAAATGATGGAGGTGATGAATGGGCAGGAATGAGCTAAGTAAACCATTGTAATAGAGAACTTAACAATGAGTTAAATGGGAGGTGAGTTTTGAAGAGATGATTACCTTTGTAAAACCTTTCTAGAGGAAGGTGGAGGATATAGAAGTGAAGAATGATGAGTTAAGATGGGGAAAATCCATCTTATTATTTAATATTTGATATTAGTATATAATATCACACGAGTTTATAATTGAGGCGAACCTTCAATTCAGTATTTTGCTACATTGGTGTTTTTGAGTCAAGATCACAGGGATAGGGAGTTGCGAGGGCGTTGAGGGGATTGTAGGTGAGAGTGAATATCTTGAAGTCAATTTGCTGGGAGATGGGGAGTCTGTCAAGGATGGGGGTGATGGGCAAGGGAAGCTTCATAGTAGTAAGCATGTGGGTGATTGCGTTTTGGATGAGCGGAAGCTTGTGGATGGTAGAGCTGGGGAGGCTGGCAAGGCTCACAGAGATGGGTGATATGACAAACGTTCTAATAAGTGGTCTTGATCTTGGAACAGATGTGGGGGAGAAAAGAGAGCAAAGGGTTGAACTTAACACCAAAAATACACACTGTTCAGTCCGTTAGAGAGACAGAAGTGACATTAGTGGCACCTGATGACCCGGAAGTCTGTTGTTATTTAGTGTAAGCCCACCAGGTTTCTTTCTGAATGCTCAGAGGCGACATGATTATTCATGTGATCGATCACAATAAGGAAGTGCTGACTGGCGATCACTCTGTTCGAAGGCTGGAATGAAATTCAGAGTTAACTGGGGAATATTCAGATGATAGAATTTATTCAAATGAATGGAATGCATGTGTCTGGATAGGAGCTAGAATTATACAATTCAAGAATACAGCAATTAAGATTCCTTTAAACTACATATAAAGGGAAAGTGGACGAGGGGGAGAATGCTTTGTTAGAGAAGAATAAACTGCGAGAGAGAGATTTTGTGTCTTGAGATGTTCTTTCAGCACCTTGGGATGATCTCCCGATGTGAAAAGCGTTATAAAAATGTAAATTTGTATTATTTTTCATCCCTTTACCGTGTGAAGTACAAAGTATCCTGGATATGAAGGAATGCATTAAAGGTTATTCTGATGCTTTATGCTACTGTGAGAAGTATCAGGAAGATACTCTAGGCTTGTGCAGTCAGTGAAAATCGAACATGACAGAAACATGGCTGAGAATGGAAGATGGCTATGAGATGGAACTAATATGGCATAATATGTTTTGCATAGTTTACGGTAAGACAGAAAAGCACTGTGATTGAGAGAAAGAATGGAATCCAGATGATAGAAGCAATCTAGATTAAAAAAAACCCTCAGGGCATCAAAATAGTAATTGTTAACTGTTGACACTCTTTTCCTTCTCATCCCCCAAGGTGAGTGGGTAGGGTAGAGAGATGCTATAGAAAATGTCATGTGATAATTATTCAGAGGGGATTTCAATTGGCTGGTGATAAAGTAATCCAACTAGAGTCAACCAGATACAGATAAATATGAGAAGTTATAGAAATAAATACCGTAAATTCTGAATTACTTGACCGCGGCTTAACTCATCACTATCACTTAAATTGTCATGTCATCAATATCCCAACTGCTTCCTATATAAACTATTAAAAATAATCTATTTGAAAATAATACCTTTTGGTTGTTCAAAATGGGAAGGAGGCAGAGAAAGTCCAAGATTGTATAAAAATGGTTTAACATGAACATTAACTCAACCTGGAGAAATGTGTGTTAATTGTGCACATTAAAAAAGTATTTTTTGAATGTATGTGGCTATTTTGAGTGAGTGTTGAATAATGGGAAGAAGTGAAGAGTTCACATTTGACTAGGTTTGGTTGTAGCCTGTGGTCTACCTAATACAAAGATTGGCAATGATAAACCAGGTGCAGTATTTATTTTACCATTTGTTTTTTCTCCTGGTATAATTTAGTGTCTAATTTTCTTAATGAAAACCGATGGACCTAAAAATTACTTACTTTGCTATATTAACAGGTTTAAAATATTTTTTTTTGGCATTGTTGTCGATATACCCCCAAGACCAGTAAATAAAAGTGATCATTTAATAAAAGTATTTTGGAAAATAAATCTCCACACAGATTTATGTAGTTTGAAAACTGCATCAAAGAGCAATCAGGATTCACCAATCATACATGGATCCCAAGCGATCATCTTGTTAATCTACATCCATTGCTAATATTAAAAGTATTGAACAATAGAGGGAATTTAAGCAACAAGGGAGAAGTCAGATGGATAGCTGTTTAGTCCATGTGTCGCTAGTAGTGGTATTGGAATGTTTACATTTGAATTTTCATGAATAAAAAGATACTCCTTCATTTTATGGTGGTACAAGTTGGTGTTATGTGTTCTGTGATTATATCAAATAAAAGAGTGCTTAACTTGGGTGAAGGGGAAAAACATTTGAAGTGGAAAAAGGCCACATGTTTCAAGGAGCAATTGTTAAGTATTTTACCATCTTAAGTAGTTAGTTTATGTGTTCTTGAACAGCTTGTGTTGCTTTCTCACCACTTCAAATAGACTTTCCATCTTTGGAGAGGGGAAGAGAAAGACAAACCTTTGTATGCTTATGGAAATGGTTGCTATGCATGCCAGCAATTACTGTGAAGTCCTTTTGATGCCTCAATATAATAAGGCACTAAGTTCTTGCTTTTGTTTCCCTTGCTGCAATGTGCCTCATATTGATTATAGAGTGTCATTGGTTACAGTGTTTAAGGAATTCATAGTCATTTTTGTCACCAATACTCTATCCTTTTGTATTAAAAATAGTTGATTGGTGAATCGCTTTCCGGGGTAATAATCCCTTCAAAATTAAATTAAAATATAATAATAATTTGGTCACTCAATCCATAACTGTTTGTGGGACACTGTGGTGTTCAATTGGCTGCCATATTTCGCCCACAAAATACTGTCACTAAACCTTACAGTATATTCTGTGAAGCGCTTTGAGACATCTTGAAGGCTTGATAAGGTGCTAAATCAAATGCAAACATTATTATATTCATTAGATGTTAATGAATCCTTTGCTTATATTAGTTGGTGACTTAAATATGTTCTTACAAAAGGGTTTGTACTGATTCAATTCATGATTTTCACTTAATTTACCAACACCTGATTGGACAAGGTAGGGAGGAAGTATCTGAAATTATTGTTTGGATTTCTAGTTCTGTTAAGACTTTCTTCCTCCTTTCTTGAGCTAAATAGGAACTGAAATTTGGAGGCACTATGTTTTTGTTCAAGGATTTTTTTAAAACAAAGTTTTAGACAAACTAGTTGTGCTACCCGCATGGAAACATATAGCAGCCACGTTTGTGTAAATTTGCTTATAAATTTGCATAGTTGCATTGTGAACCCTATTCCTCGCTCACATGCACAGCTAATCTGCTTATTTCCTGTGAGCTGGGCAGCTTTTCATACTAAAATGCTGACTTCTGGTTGATTACATCAATGTGACTTCCTGCTTTACTGCACGGTACTTAACTTGCTCTTACGTATAGCACCTGTCAAAACATTTTATGTGGATGGTGTGAGACACTAAGCAAGATGGAGGAAGGGGGGAAGGTAGCTGAAATCATGATTTTAAAAAAAGTTGTTGTTTTGAAGAATTTTTCAGATGTGAATCAGAAATTTTTGGGAGGGAGTCTCAGTCAGTGTGGCATAGTGGTCATAGCTTGGCCATGAATGAGTTGGAGGTGGAATTGGATGTGTAGTTTGAGGAGCATAGAGTGAGTGGAAGAATGGTTTGGAGGAGATGGCAAGGGCCATTGACGGATTTGAAGATCAACATAAGGATTTTGTAATTCTTCTACTAGGAAACGAGAGACCGTAAAGCCTGGTAAGGTTGGGCATGTGTACCCTAATACAGAAGAGCACCATCAGGATGAGCTGGAGCTTACAGAGGGGAGAGCTAAGGGAGGCTGGTGAAAGGTGTTTCAGAAATTGCATTTAGAAACAATTGAAGAACATCCATAACATTAATATCAAGAATTATACATACACAAGATTTAGGGCATTGATTGCTCAATTTTTGTATATTATATAAGCCTCGTTTCTTCTGGTTTTAAAATGATCTTTCAAACCATTTTGAAATCAATTTACACAATAGTTATAAATTAGAATAATCTAAATTTGACCTAGATTTAAAAATGTCAAGAGTTTTTTTTTGCCTGAAGTATGCATTTTAACAGGATGCTCCATTAATGGGTTTGTTTGAATGTAGTGCAGTGATTGAGGACATCTAAGTAACTATCTATGGTTTTAGTAATAATAATAATCCTTGCTTTTGATATAGCATTTCTCATGTCTTCTAGACGTCTCAAAGCGCTTCACAGAATATACTGTAAAGTGAATTGACTAATTGTGGGAGAAATGCAGCAGCCAATTGCGCACAGCAGTGTCCCACAATCAGTCGTGGATTGAGTGACCAAATTTTTGTTTGAGGGATTATTATCCTCGGAAAAGCGATCCACCAATCGACTAACAACTGCCAATTGACTACTTACTGCTAGGCAAACATGGGCATATGGAGTAAATTTTTTGCTCAATTCCCAGGCACACAGCTGAATTACTATTAATTCAAACGTATCCATCAGCTCTCAGCCATGTTGATCAGTGAAGAGAGTTGTGGATAGTGAATCACAGGGCAAGTGATGGTCAGCATATTTGTACCAAAAAGTTGCATACAGTTATTCTTGATGCCACTCATTGATTGTAATTATGCCAAAAATCTATCCCGTTTGTAGGGGTTGCAGTTGCCAAATGACATAAATGTGAGAAAAAAGGGAATTTTGTTCAGCTCATGTTGCCTTCTGTTGTTCAACAGCCTTTACAGTGTATTGTATTCACATAAAAGAAACCTCTCAAAGCACTTTACAAAATAAGATTAATACTGCTAGGTGGGCAAACGAGCCAGGTTCCCCATAACAGCAATGAGATACAAGTAGCCAATTAATTTGGATGTGGATGCAATATAAACAAGAATAGCCAAAAGGAAGAACTGTTTCTTTGAAATACTGGCAGGGGTTAGGTCCTTTAATGCCTGAATTACAAGGCAGATGGGACCCATGTTAATGAGCACAATAAAAAAATGATGGCTTGCAAATAAACTTGTATTTCATATAGAATTAATTAATATTATAATCCTGCTGCTGCTATATTTCTGTTGGAAAATCACACAGTTTATCCTGAGACTTTGTTCTAAGCAGCTGATTTAGCTGTACACAAAGGCAGCGTTTGTCTCATTTCCTCTCAGTACATCATCAATAACATCGCTATTTATAAAAGTAAGAAGAATAAAATAATACTGGGAAACAAGCCCGAAAATAGCCAATATGCAATGAGTGGATAAGTGGAAGACAGAGGGGGAGCTGCAGAGGGTTTCAGGAAGAAAGTTGCAGAGAATGGGAGTAAAGTGACTGACAACTTACCTTCATGTCCCCTGTCCCTAATAATGGGACATGGGACATGAAACAGGTCAGGGTTAGTGGTGTAGAGGGAATCCAACAGGTAGAACTGCAAGAGCTCACAGAAATTGGATGGGGGAAAAGCTGTAGAGATATTTGAAGGTAGGAACGAGGATCTTAAAGTCAATCCCCTGGAAGATAAGAGGCTTGGCAAGGATGGGGATGATGGGCTTGTGAAGCCTTGTGTGGGAGGTAATGCGGGCTGTGGTGTTCTGAATGATATTAAATCCTGTTAAAAGTAATGTGAAGCCGAGGCTGAATTCTAATTTTCCATAATTACACTGCTGGTTGAAAAGTTTTAACAATTTTGCATAGCGACCATTGATCTATCAGCCCCACAGCCACATCTATCTCATCAGCTAATAACTTAAATCCTTTGTTTCCAAAGACTTTATTTCGTGTTTATGATTTATTTTCGTATAACACTTTATGAGTTCTTTGTACTACTGTCTATGCTGATAGTTGGATTTGCACGCCTATCATGCAACAACAACAACAACAACAACAAGATTTCATTTATAGAGCGCCTTTCATGTCGGGAGGACTTCCCAAGGCGCTGGAGTTTAAAATATTCAAAAAAAGTTTTGCTTGTGGGAAGGAATGACTCAAGTTTCGCCTGACAATAGAGGAATTTGCCAGGGGTAGTCTTGGATTACTAGCTTTAAGTTTTATGATTGTGCAGAACTATTTAGATTACACCTGAAGACTTTCCTCTTCAATCATGCCTACGGTCACCTCCGCTCTCTCTGGTTCAACATCAAGCACTTCACGCAGGGTAGATTCTCAAAGTATATAAATTTCTTTAAACGCAAGTTGTTGATGAAGAATGAGACTAGTTGCTGGAATTGATCTCTGCAGAATTAGTTTTGTGTTCTGGTCTCCAGGCAGAATGAAGTAATGCAGTCATCACACTAATGCCTCAGAATGTTTTAATGCCAGTTGAGACCAAATTTGTTCTGATTCAAAGGAATTTCACTTCAGGGCAATGCCATTATTTACAATGATTGTAAAGTTGTCAGATTTAAGGAATTTTGGTAGACTGGCGTAGCAGATATATATGAAGCGTAGTTTCTACAGTAATTTCATCATGTATGTCAGATGTTTCAGATACTCAATAATCGCAATAATTTTAGATACTAACAAATTATGACAATTAATGAAGAACAGATTTAGAATGCACTACCTGGAAAGCTTTAAGATTTTTTGCAAGAATTTACAAATTAAATAGAGTGGGATGGGAGAGTGAATGAGGCCCAGCAGGCATGGCAGGTAGAAATTAGAGTGAGAATTGAATACAATTTTACTGAATGATTACACAATTTATCAATAGAGTGAGAATACAACTTCTCCAACAAATTAGATTGAGCCAACCAACTACAATGAAATAATCACCTTGAGAACCATTATGCAATTTATCTGCATTGCCAGCATGCTGTCGGATTACGCATTAATCACCTTAGAAGTGTTCACACAAATTAGGAAAACAAGATTCGGATATGGACCCCTGCATGACTAAATGCAGAACTTATTAGCATCATATGCAAAAAAAACTTTATAGGCTCTACCTTGGATACTTGTGACCGATCATCGGGTTTTGTGATAAACAGGATGACCCAAAATGAAATGCATGCAACTATATTCCTCTATGGAATTGCATCTATGTTATCATTTCATCAACATTATGGAATTGAATCTATGTTATCATTTTATCAACATGGGTAGTGCGGACAAGTATGTGACTGAAGACCACATCAATGCAAGTTGTGTTTGGCAAAATAAAATCAGGCAGAGCAAACTGCTCAAGGACACCTTGAACCAGTCTCCCAAACTGCTCTACTGGCCTAGATGTCTGAGAGTATCTATGATTGAATGTGCAAAATGGTATGAGGTAGTCAGTCAAAGAGCTACATTTTGAGCAGTGGCACATCTGAGAGCTAGAGCAGAAATGTCAGGTTTATGGCAACAATTTGCTTGCATGATATGGGGCTGGGGAGCGAATGCATTTCACACATAGCTATGAAGATAACAGAATTTAAATCTCCATTGTCCTAAGTAGCATAATAGTTAAAAGTATACATTATAGTTCAAGAAGAATTTCCCACACATAGAACCAAGTCAAGTGGAATAAAGTAAAAGTGGGAATTTTCATCCCACTTGTTATCCCATTATCCTGACCTGGAAAAAAGTAGTTACAAGCACACACCACTGTTAACAAGAGTCACTTGATTCTAGGCATAACACTGAAGTACCGTAAACTGGGACAGATGAGGTAGAGGTTATATTAATAATGTTTTACATTTTGAATCTCATTCTTTGTGTGTGAGATTTGGAGTCTCAGAAATAATAATAAACTCTGAAAAGTGAATGGATTTTAATGGCACTGAGACTTTCACCTTGAAGCAGCAAATGTTGATTATTCATGCTTCATTCTTTGATCATTTACCGATTTCCATCTAATTATTTCATGCATTCCCATTTCAGACGAGTTAATTCTTGATTGAGCATTGCAATTTGGGTATTGCAGGTCTTCAGCAAAGGGGTCATTTCCATTGTGGGAGTTATTTTCATAATTGCGGATAGTAATCTGGATTATTTTCAAATGCCAAATTTTACAGCATTTTAGAAAATTGATCTACTTGGTATCTGAAGATAGTTATCGAAAACAGAATTTGGTCAATATTTGAAGATAAAATAATTAAATGGACTTTGAAATCACCCAGAATACTATAGTAATTGATACACGTTATTGCATTTAACTCTTTTAGAACTGAAGTATTTTATCTGCTGACATCTTAAAATGTAAGCATGTTCTATTTCGCCCACTTGTATTGCAAGTAGAATAATTCCCTGGAATGCTTTAAAGGCTGTTCGTCATCTAAAGGGGCTGGGTGAGCATCCTTACCTTGTTGGGGTTGTTTATTGTCATTGGTCCTGAGGAAACTCATTGTGTTGCCCTGTAAAATGTCATCCAAGCACAGGGCAGTCCTGTAATTGGGGGTGGGGTGGTCTATAGAAATCCAATGCACTTTCTAACCTGGCCTATCAGGAAACCAGCACTATAACTAAGACATTATAACAGGGCTGCACTGTATTAATTTGGTCTTGTCATTCTGGATTATTAATTTTGGTTTTGTCATTCTGGAGCGTTTCTGCTATTGGGATTTGGATCAGCTTCATGTAACCGAGGAGAAGTAACCATGCTGAGAATACTCACTGTTTTATATCGATGGCAATGGCAAGCCAATGCGCTTGAAGATGATCATGCTTTACTATATAATGTATCCAGCGTAAATGGATTGCTCTGTCATTGTACATGTGTAAGCAAAGGAGTTACATTGTCACAGTGTATGGTGGAGGTTCACTAAAAAAAATTGCCCTTTCTTTAAAACCCACGTTTTTATTTGTGGAATCTTTCCATTGCATTTTTGCATGTTGTTTAGTTTGCCCTTGAAAGTGGTTCACAGTATCCTGGATCACATGATTATTATTTTTAATAAACATGTAGTTATGCACTTGTATATTCCCATAGCAAATATGGAACCAATTAAGTTTCTTTCCTTTTGGAATGACCTAAATGCTCCCTTCTACATATGGACCATTAAGTGGTTAAGATAGTTTTTTTTTGTTTGGACGTTTAAGCCACGCTTCTCTTGGATTGAAATTCTAATGATCTTTTTCTTTTACAGAAAGGCTGAAAGAAAAATGCAATATGATGAAATTCGCAGGAAGTATGGTATGTCAAAGTCTTATTAAATAATTAATTTGTGGTAGTTACACTGTACATAAAATGTGGTTTATCCAATGCATTTGTATCATTTTACCAAATAAGTTACTTGCTCCAAAATCTAATGAAGGGTTTCAAATATGTTTCATAAAGTTAAAATTGCCCGGTAAATAGAGTGGCTGTGCATTTGTTTGAAATCCTATCTTCAATAAAAATGCTTTCTCTGAGCTTTGTGGCGTGCCAGATATATATTTCACTCCCTCATTCCCACAGTTATGCAAAAATAACCAGAAATGTATATCCCTTAATGGCTAAAGAATTCATTGTTCTGAAACCAGACTAGCCAAGCACACTTCAGCATTCAATGTTTAATCTCCATTTGAGAAAATCCCACATTACTTTCAAGTCAGCTTCTGTCGAATGACCTGACCCTGAATGAGGAGTTTCAAAACTTTCCATTTTCAGTTTAAACATCATGGTCTCTTGGAAGACCTTCAGTGTCAATAGTGCTAACTAGAGGAAAAGTTGCTCTTTGGTTCCAGGATCAGTCACTTGATAATGATTACATCAGACGACAAGAGAGGTATGGATGAAGAAGCCTATAGATCCATTTGTTCTCATCCTTTTGGAATATACACACATCAGTTATACTTGCTTCTTAGGGAAACTTTTTTTGCTTCAAGATGTTTTGTCATAATAAGGCTCTATAAAATGTCTTTCTCTTCCTCCACTTCTTTCCACTTAAATTTTTCATGAGGATAGTAATAATAATCCTTGCATTTGATATAGCGCTTTTCACATCTTCTAAGCATTTCAAAGCTCTTCAGAATAGACTGTAAAGTGAATTGACTGTATATTTATGGGTGAAACGCGGTAGCCAATTGCGCACAGCAGGGTCCCCACAAACAGTCGTGCATTAAAATGACCAATTTTTTTTTTCTTTGAGGGATTATTATCAGGTGTGCGGAGTAAGGAAACTTGCCCAAGGTTTCACCCTGCCGAGAATCGAACCCAGGTCTCTCGCTTACAAAGCGAGTACTCCAACCACTGAGCTACAGGACTCTGAAGTTGGCCCTGAAGGGGGTGAAGCCCAGGTTCACCAGAATATGACCAGGCCTAAAAGGGTTAAGTTACGAGGAAAGGCTGCGTAAACTTGGATTGTACTTGCTTGAGTTTAGAAGGTTGAGGGGTGATTTGATTGAGGTATTTAAGATGATAAAGGGATTCGATAGGGTAGATACAGAGAAGCTATTTCCTCTGATGGGGGAATCCAAAACAAGGGGCATAGAAAACCAGGCCATTTAAGAGTGAAATCAGGAAGCGTTTTTTTCACTCAAGGGGTGGTAGAAATCTGGAATTCTCTCCTCCAAAAGGGGGTGGATGATGAAAAGGATCAGAAATTGAGAGTTCCTGTAGTTTTTTTTATGTTAACCAATGTCAATTTTGAAGGTTGAGGACAGAATGAAGAGGTTGGGTGGTTGGAGTGGGATAAGATCAGGGTTCTTCTAGGAGGGTTGTGCATAAACAAGATACTTCTTTATCCTCCCCCCACCCTCAACCACCAATTTCTCTTCTCTTCCTGGAAGGTTGGGAACAGGTCAGTTACCCATCCTCTTGACTATCGCAGGATTGTTGCATTTAGACAATACTGCACATTTTCATATGTATTATTAATTTTTTTTCTGGAGTACAAATTCAGCTTTATTTAGCAATCTTGGATTCATATGATTTAACTAATGCACTTTGAAGAAGTAATGATACAGTATTTGGTTTGTACTGGATACAGCATAACCATAGACGCAAAGTTGCCAGACAGTCTTTTTTTACTTATATTGAAAATGTCACTAGTATTTAACAGATATTAGCTTGCCAAATATGCATATGTAGAAATCTGATGGACCTGAGCACAGAGTGAGCAGTATATTGTGGAGTCCTATAGCTTATTGGTTAGAACACTCGCCTACCAAGCGAGAGGACCTGGATTTGATTTCCAAGCAGGGCGAAATGTTGGGCAAATTTCCTTACTCCACATTCCTCAGTTTACCTAACAGTAATTCGGAACCCGGTTGTTAGTCGATTGGCGGATCATTTTTCAGGGGGTAATAATCCCTTCAATAAATAAATAAATATAATACTATGGTCACTCAATCCACGACTCTGTGGGACATTGCTGTGTGCAATTGGCTGCTGAGTTTTGCCTACAAAAATATACAATTCACTTCACAGTATATTCTGTGAAGCTGTTTGAGACGTCTCAAAGACGTGATAAGGTGCTATATCAAATGCAAGAATTATTGTTGTTATAATTCTCTCCTCACTATTCTAAAGCAGGTAGCAATGTCGACCTCATAAGTGGAACAAATAAGATCTTACGTTGCATTGGGGAGGAAGTGAATCTTTGAGTGCTTCCGTGCAGAGAGTAATGCATTTTTTTTAAAAAAAACCTCAAGATAGCTAACATCATCTCAAATTTCGTTAATCATTTGTAAAGTCTTATCAGTTCACATCTGTTATTAGTACTACCGATAGATGTGCAGAATTGGAAGTTTATTCTAATGCAGCTTCTAATACATGTAATTCCAAAAAAAAATATTTTGTGTATATTTATGATCAACACAAACTCAATAGAGCCTTTGTGATAATGAAGGATTAGTGATTGCTGCAGTATTTTAAATTAGGTTTAGACTAAGGGAATAAATTAAGATTGAATATCTCTTGCAGGCAGATTTAGTTTGACTCATGCAATTTAGCACGACAACTTAGTTGACAAATTATTCCCTGATTGATTTTGTTTTGCAATGTTACATTCATCTGTACTAGTGGTTTTTTAAAATGAGATTGGATTTTTACAATTAGTTATGCTTCAGAGCAACTGAACTGTCCTTCCTATCTCACATCTGGTCCCTGAGCACGACTGCTTTCCTCCACCTCCGTCACATTGCCCGCTTCCTATTGTACCTTACCCCAAAGCAGCCAAAACACTCGTCCGTACGTTCATCACCTCCCATCTCGACTACTCCAATGCCCTCCTTGGTGACCTCCCCAGCTACACTATCCATAAAATTCAGTTAATTCACATACTCACCCGCCCATATACTCACCTGCACTAAACTCCGTACCCCCATCACACCAGTTCTTGCAGGTTTCTCTGGTTCCCTATCACCGAACAGATCAATTTCAAGATTCTCATACTCATCCTCAAATCCCTTCATGTTCCTGGCACCACCCAAGCTCTTCCAACCAGCTTACTCCCCAACCCACTACCCGCTGCCTCGACTGGCTCCGGCCCCCTGCTTGTCCCTCATGGAGGGTTCCACCATGAGTAGTTTCAGCCACTGTGCCCCAAAATTCTGGAATACTTGCTCAGTCCCTCTGCCTTGCCCCCTTCATGTCACACCTGAACACCTTCCTTTTCGACTGTGCTTACGGTCACCTCCAACCCCTGGCTCAGTGTCAGGCTCCACCATTGCCAAGTACACTGAGATACTACCCTGCATGAGGGGCACTGTATAAATACAAGTTGTTGTTATTGAATGATGGTTGTTAAAATATGGAATGCCTTATCACAATTGGCTGTTCAAGCATTTAAAATTAAATTGGATACATATTTTTAAGGAAAAATCATCAATAGTATGAGGAAAGAGCAGGAGAATGGGATTAGAGTTGGTAACTTCAGTGGAGGTACAGCACAGACACGAAGGGCCAACTTATCACTTCCTGTGCTGGAAGCATTCTGTGATTCTATTGCAAGGTTAACTTATTCTAACTGCTGAAAAAATAAAATTTCCCAAAATATGAAATTGATTGATGGCTGTACTGCCCGATTCAACATATAAAGATGTGGAGGTTAAAAAGGTTCAGTATTAAAATGGTGGGAGGGAAAGGAGAGAGAAATTAATGAATGGCAGAATGGCATTGGCTTTTCAATCTTGCCACTGTTGGTTGCTATGAACATGCATGAAATGTTAACTCACTGTTCATTTGTTAGAAAATTCTTTGTATGTCATCCTCTAGCTTTCCTCACTCCATTTAAATGGTAATTACACATTTTATTATGTGGTGCAGATGTTGGTTGTTTTTGCATTGTCCTTGGGGTATTGTGATAGTCAGTGTATACTGGAGATTCTTTTGATGAGGGAAAAATTATCTGAACTATGAAATATTCTGTTGCACTAAATATTGCCTCAAGTAACTGTTGAAATAGTTAGTGCATCACCTCGTAGTAAAGGTTTTCAGACGGAGGTGTACTTCATTTTTACCAATATGTGCTTTTTACCAATGTGCTTTGCTAATACTGCGCATTAGTAATGAAGTAAAAAGTATTGTAGCAGAGCTCCCAGGATCAATGAATATTATTATTCATGTAATATCCATCTTAATTCCACCTGTTGAAATCTTCAAATTATATTTTTGGAAAAAATACCAGTTTGAGAGTTAGGACTTCCTGGCTTGCTAGCTACTAATGTTTTAGTCTTGGAGGCAATTTCCTTCATCAAATCAAAAAAATAACATTTTGCTAATAATGTCTTCTGTCTATGTAATCATAAGAGGTTTTGAATGAAAAAAGCCTTTTTTTCATTTGATCCAATTGTTCCACAAGACCAACCCTTGCAGCTTCCCGCTACACTATCATACTGAATCCAAGTATCCTGGGTTTGCCCATCCTGGTAATCATTTGCAGTTGTTTGTTAGCTTCTATGTAAATACTTCTTGGTATCTCTCCTAAAATTCTTTCAAACGACTAAACCCATGTTTATTTCAAGCAAAGATAAGTGACCCATGTTAATGGATTAGCCTTCATACAATGTTATTACTTACTCTTAAGAACTGGTAAAAACATTGGACCTGTGAATTTATGTAACACAGAATCTCTGTATATGGAGCTCCCAAGCTTTTGGGCATGCATCAAATCATGATGTAATAATTTATGTGTTCGGTTTTACAGTATTTAAAATTCTGGAGTCCAACTTCTGCAGAACTCCATACTGCATCATTTACTGAACTGGAGAGTAATGTTATAGGCTGGATATTTGTATTGATAGGATCTCTAGAATATTTAGTTTAATTGCTTTAGAGTTTAGAAAAACGTTTTAAATCTTTCTGAATGGTGAATTGACTTCCTATTTCTGGTATATACTGTTCTTTCCAAGAAGTTGGGCTTCTCACCTTGTGGTCTTTCAGTTGAACTTTCTACTTATCTCTTGTTGAGTATTTCAGTAGAAATTTTGCAGTTATGTACTTAGATTAACATATATTTAATATAAATGAGTGGATTAAACACAATGGTACAAAACATTTTATTTCATTTAACCCAGGAAATCTAAACTCTTGAGAGATGTTTAATGGGTTTTTCACCGAGGCATTCCAATTAACATAGGGCATTCTAATTAATAGGATATATTTGTATTGCTTCATTAATGAATGATGTATGGAAGTCAATGGAGAGTGTCGCTCATTAAACAAACATCCACTTTAGAAAATGGAGTCTTGAATCTAATCAGGAAATAGTTGGTCTCGCAGCATAGTAATATACAGTACAGTGCACTTCCCGTAAGATCCCGATGTAAGCGTGACAGCTGTTTTTTCTTTGCATGCTTGCAACTGGCAGGACAGGAAGTGCTAAAAATGGCTGTCTTGCGGGCCAGTAAATCACTGCAACATCATTTTCTGTTCTTTGTCCAGAGTGGGAATTAATATTAGCAGCAACCTAATGATCCAAAAATCGTGCGCGCGCGTGTGTGTGTGTGTAAAGGTAAAATAGTAGATAGCCTGGACATTGGGTCGCCATTGCCGTCACTTCATGCTTTTGGCAGCAAGCGGGAAGTGATGGAGACCCAATGAATCAAAGTCAGCCAGTGAACAAGAAACAAGTGAGACCCCTGCACATATGTGTTTTAAATGGGTTCCACAGTGACACTGCATTATAAGTGAATTTATGCTATAGTAATAGCGAATCTACAATGTAACAAGGCATACTATGAGCTTTATTCTCAAATAATCCTTGCATTTGATATAACACCAACACTGTTGAAACATTTCAAAGCATTTCACACACAATGGTTGTAAAGTATATTAACTATTTGTAGGCAAATGTCACCATCAATTTGCGCATAGAATAGCCAAAGAAACAACCCTGAAATGAGTTCCTAATTTATCGGGAAGATGGTTGGAGAGAATACTAAGAGAAAAGGCATTCTCTTTTCAAGTAATGTTATGGACCTTCAGCATTCATCTGAACCAACAGATGGGACCTTGGTTTAAAGTCTCATTGAAGGATACCCCCTCCAGCAATGCAGCATTTCCCCAGTACTGAAGTAGAGGTCAGCCTGGACTGAACTCCAGTGTTGACTTGGTGCTTGGCCTTAAATTTTCCGATTCAGAGGCAAGAGTCCTACCTATTAAACTGAACTAACCCCAGATGTTTCATAATTCTTTCAGCAGAATGCATTCTAAATGTTCACATCCCTGAAAAATATAAATGATATTCTCATCCTTTGTTTTTCATTATAATGAACTAGCTGCTGATGCGTTTATATTATATGTAAGTGGGCATGACCTTGGAATGTAGAATGTTGCAGCACAAATCTACCATCTGTCTCATCAAGTCTATGCTGGTGTTTTTATAATAATAATAATCCTTGCATTCGATATAGCTCTTTTCACGTCTTCTAGACGTCTCAAAGCGCTTCACAGAATATACTGTAAAGTGAATTGACTGTATATTTGTGGGCGAACGCGGCAGCCAATTGCGCACAGCAGTGTCCCACAAACAGTCGTAAATTGAAAATGACCAATTTAATCCCATTCTCCTGCTCGCTCCCTTTCCTGTTTAAGATTGCTGTGATGTTTTACTCTGATTACCATTAAATATGCAGCATTTACATTTTCCCCAGCATTTTGAGATGGAAGGATAGAAAGGGGGAAATAACCATTTAATACTCTCTTGCAGACAAAATGTTGCATTTAATTGTGTTATACAATTCTTGTCCTTAACCAATACGTTGTTTTGCATGCAAAACTACTTGTGCTTTCTGATTTCAGGTCTCCTTCAGAATTCTGAGCAGCCTTACAACAAATTTGAGAACGAATGAAGAGATTCAAAGTTTCTATGATTTTTTAAATGTGATTTACAGCAATTATTTCCATCTGATATTCAAAGCTTGTTATTTTTCATGTTAAAACATTCCTATCTACTATTCATATTAACACTGAGTTATAGAATAAGCCACTTTTTACTCCATTCCTCAATACAATTTATAAATGTACAATCTAGAATAAGTGCCTTGAATTTCTAACTGACTGCCAGTATAGCGATGCCAAATTGTGTGGTTTTTTTACGTTGATGCTGTATATTACATTTAATTACTTAGCACCAAGTCGTGAAAATTGTGCTTTTATATGGAGACCAATGAAAGTTTTGCCTTATCTGGATAACCACATGTACCTTATCTATATAGTGTTGGTAATGGAGGGAAGAAATTAAATGGTAACATTTTTTTAGACTCTGAATGTAAATCGTAATTTGAGATTGTTTTAAAGCATTAGCATTGTATTCCAGAATGTTGCACTTGACTTAACTGAAAATTATTTTGAATACAACCAGCATATGTGTTAGTGAGTATAATGTCTTGTATTTACAAAAAACTGCGACCATTTACAATTGTGTTGGTATGTCCTTGATGTTCTGAAGTGGCAAAGTATAGGTTGTTACACATATAGGTATTATGTTCTTTACATACTGCGCATGGATTTAGCTTTGCTTCAGGGTATTGCTGGTAGATACCCCAAATTCAACAATATCCTAATTAAGATTTTCAATCCCAGAAGATTTCTTTTTGTAACATCTTCAAAGTTGTGTAGGTGATGGTGAAAAGGGTATGTTCTTCAGGAGTTAAATACACTGTAAATCCAATGACAAATTATATATTTTGCTCTGATTTTTGTTTAGTTTTGCAATACAATTAATAAGGACAGGTATACTTATCCTTTTATTGGTGATATCAGTTTAAATAAAAAGCCAAATTAATTGAGAAATGTGATCAGTTCTATGTAATGTCATCTGAACTTTCTGCATTTAATTTTCAAATCTACCTGGTTTATACTTGTATTGTTTCCTGCTCTCTTTGATGCGATCATTAAAATAAATGCATACAAAATAGTTTTGGATATTCATTCCTTTTTTGTACAATTTATGCAGTGTCTACAATGATGCGTTCTTTCTGCTTCAACTACAGTTTCTGATATTCTCGCAATCCTTTGCATAAAGAACTTCTGCAAGAAGTGAGAACTAAAATTCCTCCTGGGCTCCCTCAAAGGCAGTTGACTAAAACTTGTGATCAGAAATCTTAACATTATTCACCCCTGAATACAGAAGTTGCATTCCACAGATTCCATGGCTATATAATAATAATAATCTTTGCATTTGATATAGCGTCTTCGAGGTGTCTCACAGCGCTTCACAGAATATACTGTAAAGTAAATTGACTGTATATTTGTGGGCAAAATGCGGCAGCCAATTGCGCACAGCAGTGTCCCACAAACAGTCGTGGATTGAGTGACCCAATTATTATTGTTATTTCTATTATCAGGTGGGATTATTATCAGACATGTGGAGTAAGGAAATTTGTCCAAGGTTTTGCCCTGCTGGGAATCAAACCCAGGTCTCTGGCTTGCGAGGCAAGTGCTCTAACCACTGAGTCACAGGACTCCACTCAGCTATGGTTCCAACAGAGTGGAGCTGTAGTGTATTTGATCATTTGCTTTCTTTGAGTCAATATCTTTATCCTTGAACCCTTGTTACCTTTTTCTGTTCTTATTGTCAACTAAATTACCTTATGGTCTCTGATTCCCAAAATGTTCTACCTTTTGTCACTGGTTAACTACCTATCTAGAAATAATGAAATATATTAGGCCTGGTTAGTCCTCAGCTAGAGTACTGTGTTCAGTTCTGAGCACCACATTTTAGGAAGGATGTCAAGGCATTGGAGATGGGCCAAAGGTGATTTACCAGGTTGGTACCAGGAATGAGGGACTTCAGTTATCAGGAGAGGCTAGAGAAGCTAGGATTATTCTCTTTGTAACAGAGAAGGTTAAGAGGAGACTTAATAGAAGTTTTCAAAATTATGAGGAAATTCGAAAGGGTGAACAAGGAGAAACTATTTCTACTGGTAGGTGAGTTGGTAACCTGAAGACAACGATTTAAAATAGTTGTTAAAAGAAATGGGAGGTGAGGAGAAATGTTTTCACACAGTGAGTTCGGATCCGGAATGCATTGCCGGAAAGGGTAGCTGATTCAATAACAACTTTTAAGAGAGATGTAGATAAATATTTGGGGAGGGCAAGTTTACAGGGCTATGGGAAGAGAGCGGGGGAAAGGGATGGATATGTATAGCTCTTTTCAAAGAGCCGGTTCCAGACACGATGGGCTGAATGGCCTCCTTCTGTGCTGTATAATTCTATGATTCTATGATCTTTGTTTCATACACTTATGTTATAATCTTCCAGGCTGGTGACAATTGTGTGATCCAATCCCAAGTTCTGCAACCTCCCTTTCCAAGGTCTTGGATTGAGTTGTTGCTTCACTCTTTTCTCTCCGGCCACTCCTTCACGAACCCCTCCAATCGGGTTTCCGTGCTATCACACACACAAACAGCTTTGGTCGAAGTGACAAATGACATTTTGTCCATCTGTGACCAGGGCTCCCTCTGCCTCCTTGTCTTCCTTGACCTCTGCGGCCTTCGATAACGTTGACCATTCTATCATCCTCCACCTTTCACCTCAACCTTCATAGTTCTGTTCATGGTTCAGATCGTACCTCTCACACCGCTTCCACTTCATCTCTACAAACGGCCTCTCCTTTAGCCCCCGCACCATCTCGTGCAGTGTTCCTCAGGGCTCTGTCCTTGGTCCCCTTCTATTCAATATCTATATACTTCCTCTTGGTAATGTCATCCGCAGACATGGGATCAATTTCCACAACAACTGTACCTCTCTGCCTCTACCCTTGATTCCGGGACCACGGCTGTCCTGACAGAATTTCTTTCGGACATCAAGTCCTGGATGAGAGCTAACTTTCTTCAGTTGAAGGTCAACAAGACCGAGACCCTCCTGATTGGCTCCCGTCAGCACCTCCACACCTCAGGTACTGACAGCCTCACCATCCATGGATGCACACTCCACCTTGCTAAGCCAGTCCGGAACCTTGGGGTCTTGTTTGACCCTCAGCTATCCTTTCTACCCCACATCTGCGCCATGACCCGCTCTGCCTTCTTCCGCAACATCGCCCGGCTCCGCCACTGTCTCACACCACAGGCTGCCGAGACCCTCGTATACACATTCATAACAACCAGGCTCGACTATTAAAAAATTCCCTGCTTGTCGGCCTCCCCAACTCCTCCCTCCAAAAGCTGCAGATCAAACAGAGCTCTGCAGCCCATGTCCGCTCCTGCACCAGGTTCCACAGCTCTATCACCCCCATTCTCGCCCAGCTCCAATGGCTTCCCATTGCACAAAGGCTGCAGTTCAAGATCCTGCTCTTCACCTTCAAAGCCCTCCATGGCCTTGCGATCCCCTACCTCTGCGACCCCATAATCTTCACCAACCTTCCACTCAGCGGGCTCTGGCCTGCTTTATGTCCCCCGCTTTGCCCACCCCACCCTCTGGAACTCCATCCCACAGTCCCTCTGCCTCGCCCCTCCCTTGCCTCCTTCAAGGCCTGTCTCAAGACCCTCCTCTTTGATCATGTCATCGGTCTCCCTCCTTCCCCCACTGCCCTCCACCCTTCCCGACCCCCAGCTCAGGTCCGAAAACTGTCTGGTACCTTTGGACGTCCTCCCAATGTGAAAGGTGCTATACAAATATGATGTTGTTGTTGGGACTATGAGTCTAGGCTGGCACACTGATGCAGTGCTGAGAGAAAGCAACAATGTTTGAAGCGCGGGCCTTTGAATAAGATGTTAAAACCAAAGTACCTGAAAGGTGTGTCTGTGCTAAAGATGTTAAAGATCCCCTGCGATTATTCAAAAAAAAAGAAGGGAGTCGCACCAGGCTTCCCGACCAACAATCTCCCAGATATAATTAATCATTCGCTTGATTATTATTATAAACTATTTCCAGTTTTACCAACGTTAAAATGATTGTACTATGTAATGCCACTTTATCTAGGTTTCTAATCCTGTCATAATAACAGTATTGTATCTCAAGTATATAGTCCAGTATATAAGATTCAGTCAGAATCACCATTTATGGTTTCATTTCTCTGACTATCCTTGATTGCATTACCATCTGGTATAGGCACGTTATGAATCTAATTATTTTATTTTTAAAAAACATCTATTTTCTAACTAATTTTAATTGTATTCTCTGATGTGTCCCTTGACGGATTGGTTCCAGAATTTGGAATACTACTGCAGCTTTCTCTTGTGAATATTGAGGAGGAAATGTAATTTTAAATTTACTATACTCTCCAACAACTCTTACTTGCTTTAGAATATTTTGCCTGCTACAAATATTAGTTGAAGAATCTGGTAGTATTTTCCCAGATTCGTTCTTGTTTGTTTAATACACTTATGTTACAATCTTCCAGGCAATTTTTTTTATCTCTGACATTGTGTTTAGGTAACTTACTTTTGTACATGTTCCAAGCATTCCACTTCTCTCATTGCTTGAAACATTTAAAATTGTTACTTTTCTTTTTATTCATTTAATCTTAACCTACTTGTTGATTGTTTTGCAATTGCATTCCTTAGAATTTATCCTTGAGTCATTTATAAGAATGTCACATTTAACAAAACATTTTCCAAACTCCCAGGTCTATTTCTTTCAATTGCTTGCTTGACCTCTTATAATAGCAGAATGAAAATCCCCATTCTTAGTCAGGTTTTGAATTCTATAGGGAAATTATTCATTTCTAAAGCCATTAATACCTTCAGCAACCCAAATTAATCTATACAGAGAAGCATTTCATGCCTTAGAAGTAGACTGTTGCTATAACAATGCTTGCATTTGATATAGCACCTTATCATGTCAGCAAGACATCTCAAAGTGCTTCACAGGATTTATTATGAAATATTGTGACTATTTTGTTTTTTTGGCAAATGCAGCCGCCAATTTGCGTGAAGGAATGTCCCACAAATGACCATGAAGTGAATGACCCATACAACATGGGGGTGTTGACCAGAACAGGACTATAGATTCTGATTTAGCTCAGACACCAAAGAGCAGTGCAGTACTATCCAAAACAATGCACAATAAAGTTAGTATTTCAAAAAGGTTCAACTTAAATAATTATTTTCATGATGTTGAACTTAGCTTCAATATAATAAAATAGCCACAATTACCTTGGTGGATAATAATCACCTGATTTAATGTTTCTTTTAAAGAAAAATGGTTGCATTATTGGGACAAAGGTTCATCCAAACTGCACAATACCAGACAGTCAACACATCATAGAAAAAGGAATGGAGTTCTGAATTAGTTGAAATTTTCGTATGGTGGATCTGGGGAGACCAACAAGGAGAGCATTGGAATAGTCCAGCCATGAAGTGACGAAGGCGTGGACAGAGTTTTGGTTCCGAGGTACGGAGGAGGCGGACAATGTGGTGGCGGTTGCAGTCATGCCTTTTCTTTTGCTTCCTTTATATTTCAGTATCTGACTCAGCATTGTTGCCACGGTTTCAGAGAAGTACAATCAATGTTTGGGGTATGAATGTTTCCCAAAGCTGGACTGCAGGTGTCTTTCTGCGATCATGATAATAATAATCCTTGCATTTGATATAGTGCTTTTCACGTCTTCTAGACGTCCCAAAGCGCTTCACAGAATATACTGTAAAGTGAATTGACTGTATATTTGTGGGCGAACGCGGCAGCCAATTGCACACAGCAGTGTCCCACAAACAGTCGTAAATTGAAAATGACCAATTTTATTATTGTTTTGTTTTGGAGGGATTATTATTAGGTGTGTGGAGTAAGGAAACTTGCCCAAGGTTTCGCTCTGCCTGGAATTGAACTCAGGTCTCTCACTTGCAAAGCGAGTGCTCTAACCACTGAGCTACAGGACTCGATACAATTTCAGTAAAATATGACAGTGAGCGTGTTATCCTTTAGTGCTGTGCCCCCCTATCCCTGACATACAGCCAGCAGACGATAATAGACTTTATC